AACTGAAACTAAGATTACCAGATTACATAAGTAGTTGCTATTTCGTGCTGATCCAGTAATCCTATTTTCTCCATAAAGCGACGAACCTGTGGGGGTAATAAAGCGAATTGCAGAAACCACGGGTGTCAGCGCTTTGTGTCAGTAATTCTGCTATGAGCGATATTGCTGTAGTAACAAAAAAAAAAAAAAAACGTCCAGTTTCTTTATACTTATCAAATATACTGTTACGCACTCTCGATGTTCTTCCCCCTGTTCATGATCTACGGAAACATTACCGTGCTTCCAGTCATTAAACCCCGATGTAACAAACTGGGATTTTTGGACAATAGACGACACACCAGGCAGTACAATGACCTTGAAATGGCGAGTAGTTGCACATTGCTTGTTAGATACTTTGTCTTCGAATTGTCTACTCCAACTGTTTTATACACTCTGTGTGAGTTTTAAAAAGGTTTTATATTACACAGAATTAATATAAACTCAAAGTAATGTTTAATTAAGGCAAGTCACTTTACATACACAGCTTTGCAAAGGGCGCCTCTACTGGTGTGGCCCCTGGTAAGTCCCCAGCGGACCCATGGGTTAAATTAAGACAGAGCTGGTTGTATAGTAAGCTATTTTCTCTGATCATTACTGCTCAGAAACCGAGAAAATAGTTCCCTAAATGTTTTTCTATATTTTGTACTCATTTTAAAGTACAAAAACAAGTTCACACTAGAATTAATATTCTCCAGCAAGAGTCCAAAACTCCAGACACTATAGTAAAGATTATAGTACCTACCGGCCACTGAGAACTGCGGTACGAACATGGTAGTTAGAAACAAAACCACAGCAGGTGTGTAACAAACAATTAAAATACTGGCGATTAACACAACCATGGCACACGTAGCCCTGTCTTTGTTGGACATCGTTTCTGGCGTCATCTGGGGTATGTTTGCCGTTTTACGCCACCTATTTTTCTGTCCCAGTTTGTTTATTAGAACCAGTGTTAATACAATAACAGCTACAAACGACAAGAAGCCAAACAAAGCGTGAAGAACATAAACAGCTGCTTCGGCTGTTTCTTTGTTTTCTCGGAATACTAGAGCCAGCAGCGATTTATTCTTCTCTGGATAGAATATCCAGTCAAGGTACAAGGTGGAGTAGAGAGGTATAACGGAAAATGCCGTCAGGATGTAAATAGATAGGATAATGATTGCGGTTCTCTTTGGTGTGATCATCTGTTTGACATGAAGTGGGAAGGTAATGCAAAAACACCTCTCCGCCGTTATGTAGACAGTGATGAAGCAAGTAATCTTGGCGAAGACTTCCCTCTTCACCGCTGTTGTGATAAACTGGACTTCTGTGTACATCATTGGTAAGTCCAAGCTCACAAAAAGCGGGTTAACGAAGACATTAAACAGCTGCTGTATGACCAGGCTAGCCAGATCGGAGACAGCCAGTGAGAAGAAACTAATGTTGATGGTCGTGTTGAGACCCTGTCTGTAGAATATCACTATGTTTATGATATTAGTGACTGTTCCAAAGAGACTGATAACTCCACACAAACAGACATAATTGATCAAGGCGAACAAGTACTTCTCACTTTCTGTGAGAATAGAGGTCGTATAATGTTCATTTTGTATTGGGTCATATGTCGCCTTTTTTAAGTTTGTCTGGGATATATTGGCTAAGTCCATTTGATGGATGGTCATTTACTCTGAACTTCACACACAGAAACAAAACATGTATGTCTTTCTTGCTGTTAGCATGCCAATATATCGTTATTTGTCTTAACAAAATATACATGTAGTATTATACAGGTTACTGAATTAGTACTAGTTCATCTAGTAAAACCAGTCATATTCTCCAGTGAAACACCACATAGATAAGGAGGCTCACCGAAAAATATTTACTGTCTGAACTTTGAGAAATCGCAAGATTGATTTACTGATCATTCCACGTTAAGTGTGATCGCAACACGGAGAACATAAGCCAACTGCACTCCCAAATTCAAGTTTTCACGAGTTTCGGTTACAAAAAGAACTTCATAATTGCTACCTTAATTTATGTGTACCTATTTCCCAGTATGATTTCTCCAGAATTATTTTGTTAAATTTTTGTAGTTTTAAAGTTTCTTCTCACTAAAACGACGTTTATTATTTTTGCCCAATTTGTATATAACACTGTTCAAATTAGGGTTTTAATTGCGGTCTAAATTTGACAGACCTAATGTGTTCTAGAATTTAGAATAAAGTGCCAGTTAAACTATTATGATGTAATCGATATACTCGCACTTACAAATCCAAGAATACAATTGTCAGGACGAGAGATGATCTCTTCTAAACTGTTGTCATTGAAATCCCGTAGTTTTCCGCGTGACCATCCTGATCACTGCGTATTACATTTGTTCAATCGGATGTACTTAGCATTGATTTCGGCTGAGGGGTTGTTTGTAACCTACACAATTCAGTGCACGATCTCTTTTCCGTGCACTAGGCAGATACAAAATCGAGGAATGCTAACAAATGGCTAAACAAGTCGAATGTGTCGGGCGATAGGACCAAATATCAACGCCGTGGTGTGAACGGGCAGGGCGTATAAATACGTCCTCGGAAAAAACGAAACCGATTAGTGTATTACAGTGGAGACGGGTCGGTCTATAATATGTGTCCTTGTCATGTATCTAACCTACAGCACACCCACCCCAACCAAGACTCTGGTTTATTTTGTTTAGGGTTGGGGATCAAGGAGTGTAAACATTTGTAAGTGCTTTACCATTCAACTCCTTTAAATGGAAACATATATTAGTCAACAGGAGGTATATCGATGTCATCTACATGCCCCTACCTGAACTGCAGAACATTTTTGTCTCTAACTTTCATCCCAGCATCCGACGCATTTCACCTTCGCCGGTGCATTTTCCGGATCTCACTGCCACCGTGGACTCTATAGGCCTCAGTGTTCTATAAGCCTAATGATTTCCATGATTTTCTTCTCTACACGTCCTCTAATCCCTCATCCTGCAAGGACTCCTTTCTCCCAAATTCTACGTCTCCGCACACAATACTAGGAGAACGACGGCTTTCACAAGGCCCTAGAAATGCTGGACTTCTTCCGGCTTCCAGGGTATCTGCCGCCTTTTACCGAACACTGTCTTTCTATTGTGCCGAGGCTCTCATTTTCCAAGCGTAACGTCACCACAACAAACCTATCCTCATACTTACTTCCAACCTCCTCTAGTGGCCTACAGGTATGACGGTAACCTCAAGGACATTCTGTTAAGAGCCGTCGGTTACGTCCTACATCTGAGTCTCACTCCGGTATGGTCTCTTGTCACATATCTGTATGCAGGACATGTCCATATGTGGCCCAGTCTAAAATTCCCGAATGCCACCTTCCACATATGTGTATTGCACTAGCCGCAATGTGATTTACGCCAACTGCAAGAGGTGTGGCATGAAATACATTAATGAAACGGGTCTACGACTGACTGACAGGTTCAGACATCTTTTGGATGTGCAAAACGATGCTACGAAACCAGTACCGCTGCACTTCAATTCCCAATATAACCAAGGTGTCCTCAACATGGAGGTGACAGCTATTAAATTTAGCCACCCCAGCGACAAAGTTTGCAAGTATCTTGAAAATCTTTATTTACACTTTGGGAACTTTAATGCCCAAAGGACTGAACTGTCAACAGTTTCATCTAAAATTCTGGAGTTACGGTCCTTCAGTGTCCTTCTTTTCATTGCGCTGGAAAGACATCCACATGGCCGCATCTGGATATGTGAGTTAAGCGATTTTGTGTATTCGTATGGTTTTGTTTGATTTATGTATGAGCTGACAAAAGCTGTATAGCCGCAACGTTCACTTTTTGAATGTGTTTGTTATATTGTGATGCTCGCTGGTATACTTTTCGTTCGGTTTTATATCTTTCCCTGATGTTAAAGTCAGGGCTGCCGATAGGATTAAGAAGTGCAGGAACAAGACTAATATGTTTCCCTCACCTACACATAAATCACAACTGTACTTGATTAATTTCATTCAAACGTGATTAAAAATATAGTTAGTCACAAGTACACATGCGAAGTAGGTCAGACTGAACAAATGTAACTGGCAGACCTTGCCATGGGGCAAACATGTTTAACACTGGCACAATGGAGTGAAATTATGAGAAAAATCAGGTACAATGTGGGGCAAACATGTTTAAAACTGGCACAATGGAGTAACATGACGAGACAAATCAGCTACAATCACCCATGGGTTAGGATCCTGATAGAGTCACCTGACTCCCAGGTTGACCCAGCCTTGACTGGGTACAAACCATGGGAAGTAAAGGTGGCCAGCGTGATGCTGACCACATCACCCACCAAGTGCTGATTGGTCTATAAAATATAGGTCTAGCCCTATATGCCCAATACACCCGAATATGCCCAGTGCTTCAAACAGAGTGGCAAGCTTCACTGGGAAGGTCATGGGTAGTGAGCATACTTTGGATTTTTTCTCCAGGCCATGCAGGCGTGGTGGGGAATAGACAGGCAGACAGACTGGCTGAATCTGCATCACTGGGTGGTGAATTGATACATGACAGGGCAGATGTAGTCAGGACCCTTTGGGAACAAGCAACGGAGTCAGAAGCGAAACAAGATTGTGATGGCCTGAAGAGAATGAGGCACCTGGGTGTAACCAGAGGGTCTGGCAGACTCACTACACTCAGAGGAAAGGCAAGACGGACCAATAACTAGATTACGACCGGTACCATTAGTACTGGAACTCTGCACTGGCTGTTAAAGATAAGGATGGAGCACACATGGGAATGCCGTGTGTGCTGCGATGTCGATTCTTGACTCAACTCAATGCCCAAAGGCGTGGAAAAGGGTCCTATACTGTTTGTTTACTGTCACTTTACTTACACTCACAGCAAACAATTATAAAAGGCAAAGAAAAATCAACAAAACAACTATGAAAAAACAAATATATATAACAAATGTTTATTTAAAAAAACAAGCAAACAAATACTAGCTTTGTTTGTGTGACTCCGGTGTTTTTCTATCAGGATACTCACCAAATAATTTCTCACCAGATTTAGTTATAGCAAAATTATAATCTTTGCGACTGTCAATCAATTTTTCTATCGCTTCATCCAGTTTGTCTGGGTCAATAAAACTTGCAGCAGCAGCCTGGGGAAAAACAAAAAACAAACCATAAGCAATGGGGCAAATATATCCATGACCCAGATTTTATCATGAAATAATAGTTCAAAAATACCCCCATATTTGTTAAGTTTCATTCCTACAGCTACTGAGTCTGATCTCCCCCTTGATGAAAACTATTCTGACGGAGAAACTGAAGGCAGGCAAATAAGAGACAGACATTAAACACCATCAAGAAATGGACGGACAGCATTTTGTCAGTCTACAACCAAGAAGCCAGACTAGCGTTAGAGATCTGTTGTCAACATTCAAGGTGAAGATGACACCTGATTGACTGATTCATATAAGTCAGGAATCTGTCATATATTACAGATATCATAGCAATATGAGAAAATGAACACATAATCGTCTCCGACAGACGCAATTGAAGAGATTTCTACTTCAATGTTTCATCAGGGGCTGACTGCCAACAAATCGCTGAAGTCTTTTTCCTGAAGTGATGTTTAATCAGGCAACAAGTGACACCTGTAACCCACCTTCTCCCTACTCAGAGCAAGAAACCATCATCAACGATAATCCAGCTTAGGAACTACAACTCAGTCTTTGAGAGACAACAACCAGTCAACATCCATTGTCAGTGTTCCAGAAGTGATGACCTTGAGGCTAGCATGCCAGCTCATCTACAAGGCCAGTGCATTTATCTACATGCCTCAGCAGATTGCTGTGCTCTGTAATGCACACCCCCCATTTATCACGTTGTCTTTCAAGAGCCTTGTTTTACATTTCCACAATTCTATTTTTGGAGTGAACATCTCTGCACCTGAACAGTGCCAGGGACTTTCTCTAGCAGCTGAAAACTGCTGTCAAAGATAGAGGTAGAAATCATTATTGTGGGTGTTGAAGCTGAGACAAAACTCATCCCATTTCCCGCAAGAATCAGACAGTGAGCAGTCACTGATCTGGCAAGCAGCAGTCATGTATCCAGAGCCTTGACACCAATTTTACTTGTCAACCTGGCATGATATAACAGTGCTGGGTATAAGACCTGATAGCTGCAAGTACTTTACTGATGTCTTTCTAGGTTTCTATAAACTCTCTTTTGCCTTTCAGCATCAGGTTGTGAAGAGGCATCTGGTGCAAGCCTTGGTATGTGCTAAGCTGATGTTAGTATTCATGACTTCAGATATTTCATCTATCCACCACACATGTTGGTGACCTCTAGATCTGCCTGTGTACACACAAAACTAACAACACATATACAGTATCACAAGCCACGAGACGTTCAATTTCTCTCCCAACTGACGTTAGTGTATGGAGGCCTACTGTTCTGTCAGTTCGTTGATTGTTTAATAGCAATAAAACTCATAGAGAGAGAGAGAGAGAGAGAGAGAGAGAGAGAGAGAGAGAGAGAGAGAGAGAGAGAGAGAGAGAGAGAAAGAGAGAGAGAGGAAAAAAACAGAATGTTTACCTCTTTTTCCTCCAGTTCTGCGAGTGCCCTTTCAGCATCCAACATTCTCTGTTTCTCCTGGTTTGCCAATCGCTCCTTCAGCATCTGCTCATGATCTAGTTGTTCCTGCAACTGTCGCTCATTCCTACATGACATATATTTGATATGCATATATTCCTATGTGTGACAATACGTGAGTGATATGTATATGAGTTATTATGCTTATGTGAAATAAAGGTGAACAATCTTATCACAGATACCTGATACTAGTTATTTCTTGATTTGATGAGGTGACCTGTTCTTTTGTTCACAGCAGCTTTTTCTAAGAGAAACTTCTAGCACCCATTCACCAAAATTAAACAATGTGAGACACACAAATTCTGCATCAGTTCTGGAGAATCTGTGTAAACATGCTACCATACAATTACCAAACAAAAACCACAAAAGGAGAGTGGGGGGTAATATTACAGTTACACAACAAGGACGTGCACTGTTACCAGATTTTTTTGGCCTGTATCGACAAAAACCCACTAAAATGCACACACAAAAACTGAGTGAAGTAAAGGACTTGAGTGAGGCTGCCACGGAGAGGACATTCCCATGCGTACTGTTGGACATTCCCATGTATACAGTTAGGCATTCCCATGTATACTGTTGGACATTCCCATGTATACAGTTAGGCATTCCCATTTATACTGTTGGACATTTCCATGCATACCATTGGGCATTCCCATGCATTCTATTGGGCATTCCCATGCATACTGTGGTGCATTCCCATCCATACTCAGTCCTCCTCTGATGCAGCTGCAACTCTCAAGGCACTTTTATTAAATGCTCTCATGAGAAAGTAATGTCTCCCTTTTTGGCCTCAAAGACAGCATAGACATGCTTTACTCCCAGTTCATGTAATCATGTCAGCCTCCCCAGAGATTCACCATTATTCCCCAGACATATCTCACAGTGTTGATGACACCAGCTCTGCCATGCTTCTTTCTGTACCCATAACTTGCCAGATGGGCAGCCTGCCAACTACCTCTAGCTCCTGCGTACCTAGGTGTGCAGATCCAGGTGATATGACTTCCAAATGCTGTCTACCCATTAGGAGATCAAACTACCTGTTGCAAATTTCTGAAGCCTCGAGTCTGATACAATTACTGCATGTGTGGCCACTTGTTCTGCTTCCACTGTGAGTGCTCTAGAAGCAGTTATCCATGTGTGGCCACTGGTTCTGCTTCCACTGTGGTGCTCTAGAAGCAGTTATCCATGTGTGGCCACTCGTTCTGCTTCCACTGTGGTGCTCTAGAAGCAGTTATCAATGTGTGGCCACTGGTTCTGCTTCCACTGTGGTGCTCTAGAAGCAGTTATCCATGTGTGGCCACTTGTTCTGCTTCCACTGTGAGTGCTTTAGAAGCAGTTATCCATGTGTGGCCACTTGTTCTGCTTCCACTGTGAGTGCTCTAGAAGCAGTTATCCATGTGTGGCCACTGGTTCTGCTTCCACTGTGAGTGCTCTAGAAGCAGTTATCCATGTGTGGCCACTGGTTCTACTACCACTGTGAGTGCTCTAGAAGCAGTTATCCATGTGTGGCACTGGTTCTACTACCACTGTGAGTGCTCTAGAAGCAGTTATCCATGTGTGGCCACTTGTTCTGCTTCCACTGTGAGTGCTCTAGAAGCAGTTATCCATGTGTGGCCACTTGTTCTACTACCACTGTGAGTGCTCTAGAAGCAGTTATCCATGTGTGGCCACTTGTTCTACTACCACTGTGAGTGCTCTAGAAGCAGTTATCCATGTGTGGCCACTGGTTCTGCTTCCACTGTGACTGCTCTAGAAGCAGTTATCTCCATGGTCATGCATGCCATAGTTGCCTATCTTCTTTTTGCTTTTATCCCTTATGTGTGCCGTGCAACCTAGCGTGTATGTGTGCCGTGCAACCTAGCGTGTATGTGTGCCGTGCAACCTAGCGTGTATGTGTGCCGTGCAACCTAGCGTGTATGTGTGCCGTGCAACGTAGCGTGTATGTGTGCCGTGCAACCTAGCGTGTATGTGTGCCGTGCAACCTAGCGTGTATGTGTGCCGTGCAACCTAGCGCGTATGTGTGCCGTGCAACCAAGCGCGTATGTGTGCCACGCAACCTAGCGCGTATGTGTGCCACGCAACCTAGCGTGTATGTGTGCCGTGCAACCTAGCGTGTATGTGTGCCGTGCAACCTAGAGTGTATGTGTGCCACGCAACCTAGCGTGTATGTGTGCCACGCAACCTAGAGTGTATGTGTGCCACGCAACCTAGAGTGTATGTGTGCCACGCAACCTAGCGTGTATGTGTGCCACGCAACCTAGCGTGTATGTGTGCCACGCAACCTAGCGTGTATGTGTGCCGTGCAACCTAGCGTGTATGTGTGCCGTGCAACCTAGCGTCTATGTGTGCCGTGCAACCTAGCGTGTATGTGTGCCGTGCAACCTAGCGTGTATGTGTGCCGTGCAACCTAGCGTGTATGTGTGCCGTGCAACCTAGCGTGTATGTGTGCCGTGCAACCTAGCGTGTATGTGTGCCGTGCAACCTAGCGTGTATGTGTGCCGTGCAACCTAGCGTGTATGTGTGCCACGCAACCTAGCGTGTATGTGTGCTGTGCAACCCAGCGTGTATGCCATCACAGATACCTCAGGTGGTTCGGAATGAGACAGGCTATCTCATCCCAAAGAAAATGTGGCTGGAAAATTCAATCAATCATTAGATAAATTAACTTGGCATACCTTGGTAAGTTAAAAAAAAAAGGGGGGGGGGGGGCTTTTATTAGGGCCAGAATAAAAACATGATACAGAATCAGCAAATCATAAAATTAAAATTTTCAGAGGTTGGGAAATAGAAACACAATGCCAAAGAGCCGATGCACTTACATACCAATTGAGGCCATTATTAACATATCCACACATAAGTAAAAATGTTGAGAAATATTTAAACAGCATACTTATAGAAGAGAGAGCACCCAGGGAGAAGAGAGAGCACCCAGGGAGAAGAGAGAGCACCCAGGGAGAAGAGAGGGCACCCAGGGAGAAGAGAGGGCACCCAGGGAGAAGAGAGAGCACCCAGGGAGAAGAGAGAGCACTCAGGGAGAAGAGAAAGCTGCCAGGGAGAAGAGAGAGCACCCAGGGAGAAGAGGGAGCTGCCAAGGAGAAGAGAGAGTACCCAGGGAGAAGAGAAAGCTGATGCCATAAACCCTGTTGCCCCAGGACGCTGAAGAAAAAAAAAGAGGTCACCCCCCCCCCCCTACAAAATAACTTGTATGCAGGTCCCTAATAAAATGTTAAATAATGTATCTACATTTCTTAATTTGTTTTGTTTCCCTCGAGAATATAGAAAGGTTTATCAATATAACATGACCAGAGTGAAGCACTAAACGTAATACATTCTTCAGGGCCTTACAACAATATGTATCGGATGACCCATGCTGTGACCTCTGTCAATGAAGTCACTGTATGTGATATTAGATATCACGTTGGGTTTTAAAAAGTTATTTGCTTTACAGGAAAACACTCACCTAAATGCTAATTTTAGTTAATATATTTATATCCTGGCAAAATATTTGTGCAGGTGCAAACACAGCATTAACTATCATCATCATCATAAACCACTTCTGCTGTTAAGCGTCGTTTGGAGGAATAATTTGCGATCCAGTGCACGTTGGCCGCCACTGGCTATTGTCATGCCGTGAAGGCGTAGAGTGTCTTTAATGTTGTCGATCCATGTTTTCCACGGCCTTCCTCTTGCTCTTGTAGTTGATCTTCTGAGATGCAGTAGTTGTGATGGTATTTGATCTTGCTGCATTCTAACAAGATGGCCAAACCACTTGATCTGCTGTTTCTCAATGAATCTAGCACAAGGTGTCGTTCCCACAATTTGTCTGATAGTTTCATTATTTACTCGATCTCGTATGGTTAGGCTGGCTGCTTTTCTCGGCACATCTCGCAGGAGGTGATTTTGCGTATATGGGCTTTAGTTGGTGTCCATGAGCATTAACTATGCCCCTAATAAACATGTCACTCTAGATAAAAAAGTGAAATTTATATGGGGAACTGGAGACAACCTAAGTGTCAGTTTTGCTGCTTCTCAAGAGACAAGTTAAAAGATAATCTACATCGATATGGAATGACAACAGTTAGTGCCACCCACTAAGCACTGGATCACAAACTGTTACTTCTCCATGACACCGAACAGTAGAAGTGTATGTGTGCCGTGCAACCTAGAGTGTATGTGTGCCACGCAACCTAGCGTGTATGTGTGCCACACAACCTAGCGTGTATGTGTGCCACACAACCTAGCGTGTATGTGTGCCACACAACCTAGCGTGTATGTGTGCCACACAACCTAGCATGTATGTGTGCCACACAACCTAGCGTGTATGTGTGCCACACAACCTAGCGTGTATGTGTGCCAAGCAACCTAGAGTGTATGTGTGCCACGCAACCTAGAGTGTATGTGTGCCAAGCAACCTAGCGTGTATGTGTGCCACGCAACCTAGCGTGTATGTGTGCCACGCAACCTAGAGTGTATGTGTGCCACGCAACCTAGCGTGTATGTGTGCCACGCAACCTAGCGTGTATGTGTGCCACGCAACCTAGAGTGTATGTGTGCCACGCAACCTAGAGTGTATGTGTGCCACGCAACCTAGCGTGTATGTGTGCCACGCAACCTAGAGTGTATGTGTGCCACGCAACCTAGAGTGTATGTGTGCCACGCAACCTAGAGTGTATGTGTGCCACGCAACCTAGAGTGTATGTGTGCCACGCAACCTAGAGTGTATGTGTGCCACGCAACCTAGCGTGTATGTGTGCCAAGCAACCTAGAGTGTATGTGTGCCACACAACCTAGAGTGTATGTGTGCCACGCAACCTAGAGTGTATGTGTGCCACGCAACCTAGAGTGTATGTGTGCCACGCAACCTAGAGTGTATGTGTGCCACACAACCTAGCGTGTATGTGTGCCAAGCAACCTAGCGTGTATGTGTGCCACGCAACCTAGCGTGTATGTGTGCCAAGCAACCTAGCGTGTATGTGTGCCACGCAACCTAGCGTGTATGTGTGCCACGCAACCTAGAGTGTATGTGTGCCACGCAACCTAGCGTGTATGTGTGCCAAGCAACCTAGAGTGTATGTGTGCCACACAACCTAGCGTGTATGTGTGCCAAGCAACCTAGAGTGTATGTGTGCCACGCAACCTAGAGTGTATGTGTGCCACGCAACCTAGCGTGTATGTGTGCCAAGCAACCTAGCGTGTATGTGTGCCACACAACCTAGCGTGTATGTGTGCCAAGCAACCTAGAGTGTATGTGTGCCACGCAACCTAGAGTGTATGTGTGCCACACAACCTAGCGTGTATGTGTGCCAAGCAACCTAGAGTGTATGGGTGCCACGCAACCTAGAGTGTATGTGTGCCACGCAACCTAGAGTGTATGTGTGCCACGCAACCTAGAGTGTATGTGTGCCACGCAACCTAGAGTGTATGTGTGCCACGCAACCTAGAGTGTATGTGTGTGCCACGCAACCTAGAGTGTATGTGTGCCACGCAACCTAGAGTGTATGTGTGCCACGCAACCTAGAGTGTATGTGTGCCACGCAACCTAGAGTGTATGTGTGCCACGCAACCTAGAGTGTATGTGTGCCACGCAACCTAGAGTGTATGTGTGCCACGCAACCTAGAGTGTATGTGTGCCACGCAACCTAGAGTGTATGTGTGCCACGCAACCTAGAGTGTATGTGTGCCACGCAACCTAGAGTGTATGTGTGCCACGCAACCTAGAGTGTATGTGTGCCACTCAACCTAGAGTGTATGTGTGCCACACAACCTAGCGTGTATGTGTGCCACGCAACCTAGAGTGTATGTGTGCCACGCAACCTAGAGTGTATGTGTGCCACACAACCTAGAGTGTATGTGTGCCACACAACCTAGAGTGTATGTGTGCCACGCAACCTAGAGTGTATGTGTGCCACGCAACCTAGAGTGTATGTGTGCCACGCAACCTAGCGTGTATGTGTGCCACGCAACCTAGAGTGTATGTGTGCCACGCAACCTAGAGTGTATGTGTGCCACGCAACCTAGAGTGTATGTGTGCCACGCAACCTAGCGTGTATGTGTGCCACGCAACCTAGAGTGTATGTGTGCCACGCAACCTAGAGTGTATGTGTGCCACGCAACCTAGAGTGTATGTGTGCCACGCAACCTAGAGTGTATGTGTGCCACGCAACCTAGAGTGTATGTGTGCCACGCAACCTAGAGTGTATGTGTGCCACGCAACCTAGAGTGTATGTGTGCCACGCAACCTAGAGTGTATGTGTGCCACGCAACCTAGAGTGTATGTGTGCCGTGCAACCTAGCGTGTATGTGTGCCACGCAACCTAGCGTGTATGTGTGCCACGCAACCTAGCGTGTATGTGTGCCACGCAACCTAGAGTGTATGTGTGCCACGCAACCTAGAGTGTATGTGTGCCACGCAACCTAGCGTGTATGTGTGCCACGCAACCTAGCGTGTATGTGTGCCAAGCAACCTATAGTGTATGTGTGTCACGCAACCTAGCGTGTATGTGTGCCACGCAACCTAGCGTGTATGTGTGCCACGCAACCTAGCGTGTATGTGTGCTACGCAACCTAGCGTGTATGTGTGCCACGCAACCTAGCGTGTATGTGTGCCACGCAACCTAGCGTGTATGTGTGCCAAGCAACCTAGAGTGTATGTGTGCCACGCAACCTAGAGTGTATGTGTGCCACGCAACCTAGCGTGTATGTGTGCCACGCAACCTAGAGTGTATGTGTGCCACGCAACCTAGAGTGTATGTGTGCCACGCAACCTAGCGTGTATGTGTGCCACGCAACCTAGCGTGTATGTGTGCCGTGCAACCTAGCGTGTATGTGTGCTACGCAACCTAGAGTGTATGTGTGCCACGCAACCTAGCGTGTATGTGTGCCACGCAACATAGCGTGTATGTGTGCCACGCAACCTAGAGTGTATGTGTGCCGTGCAACCTAGAGTGTATGTGTGCCGTGCAACCTAGAGTGTATGTGTGCCGTGCAACCTAGCGTGTATGTGTGCCACGCAACCTAGCGTGTATGTGTGCCACGCAACCTAGCGTGTATGTGTGCCACGCAACCTAGCGTGTATGTGTGCCACGCAACCTAGCGTGTATGTGTGCCACGCAACCTAGCGTGTATGTGTGCCACGCAACCTAGCGTGTATGTGTGCCACGCAACCTAGCGTGTATGTGTGCTGTGCAACCCAGCGTGTATGCCATCACAGATACCTCAGGTGGTTCGGAATGAGACAGGCTATCTCATCCCAAAGAAAATGTGGCTGGAAAATTCAATCAATCATTAGATAAATTAACTTGGCATACCTTGGTAAGTTAAAAAAAAAAAGGGGGGGGGGGGGGGCTTTTATTAGGGCCAGAATAAGAACATGATACAGAATCAGCAAATCATAAAATTAAAATTTTCAGAGGTTGGGAAATAGAAACACAATGCCAAAGAGCCGATGCACTTACATACCAATTGAGGCCATTATTAAAATATCCACACATAAGTAAAAATGTTGAGAAATATTTAAACAGCATACTTATAGAAGAGAGAGCACCCAGGGAGAAGAGAGAGCACCCAGGGAGAAGAGAGGGCACCCAGGGAGAAGAGAGGGCACCCAGGGAGAAGAGAGAGCACCGAGGGAGAAGAGAGAGCACTCAGGGAGAAGAGAAAGCTGCCAGGGAGAAGAGAGAGCACCCAGGGAGAAGAGGGAGCTGCCAAGGAGAAGAGAGAGTACCCAGGGAGAAGAGAAAGCTGATGCCATAAACCCTGTTGCCCCAGGACGCTGAAGAAAAAAAAAGAGGTCACCCCCCCACCCCTCTACAAAATCACTTGTATGCAGGTCCCTAATAAAATGTTAAATAATGTATCTACATTTCTTAATTTGTTTTGTTTCCCTCGAGAATATAGAAAGGTTTATCAATATAACATGACCAGAGTGAAGCACTAAATGTAATACATTCTTCAGGGCCTTACAACAATATGTATCGGATGACCCATGCTGTGACCTCTGTCAATGAAGTCACTGCATGTGATATAAGATATCACGTTGGGTTTTAAAAAGTTATTTGCTTTACAGGAAAACACTCACCTAAATGCTAATTTTAGTTAATATATTCATATCCTGGCAAAATATTTGTGCAGGTGCAAACACAGCATTAACTATCATCATCATCATAAACCACTTCTGCTGTTAAGCATCGTTTGGAGGAATAATTTGCGATCCAGTGCACGTTGGCCGCCACTGGCTATTGTCATGCCGTGAAGGCGTAGAGTGTCTTTAATGTTGTCGATCCATGTTTTCCACGGCCTTCCTCTTGCTCTTGTAGTTGATCTTCTGAGATGCAGTGCTTGTGATGGTATTTGATCTTGCTGCATTCTAACAAGATGGCCAAACCACTTGATCTGCTGTTTCTCAATGAATCTAGCACAAGGTGTCGTTCCCACAATTTGTCTGATAGTTTCATTATTTACTCGATCTCGTATGGTTAGGCTGGCTGCTTTTCTCGGCACATCTCGCAGGAGGTGATTTTGCGTATATGGGCTTTAGTTGGTGTCCATGAGCATTAACTATGCCCCTAATAAACATGTCACTCTAGATAAAAAAGTGAAATTTATATGGGGAACTGGAGACAACCTAAGTGTCAGTTTTGCTGCTTCTCAAGAGACAAGTTAAAAGATAATCTACATCGATATGGAATGACAACAGTTAGTGCCACCCACTAAGCACTGGATCACAAACTGTTACTTCTCCATGACACCGAACAGTAGAAGTGGAAATTTCAATGATACCCTAAGTAAAAGATAAAATTATCCCACGTTAAGGCTGATACTTTTAGTAAATGATAAAATTATCCCACGTTAAGGCTGATACTTTTAGTAAATGATAAAATTATCCCACGTTAAGGCTGATACCTTAAGTAAAAGATAAAATTATCCCACGTTAAGGCTGATACTTTTAGTAAATGATAAAATTATCCCACGTTAAGGCTGATACTTTTAGTAAATGATAAAATTATCCCACGTTAAGGCTGATACCTTAAGTAAAAGATAAAATTATCCCACGTTAAGGCTGATACCTTTAGTAAAAGATAAAATTATCCCACGTTAAGGCTGATAGCTTAAGTAAATGATAAAATTATCCCACGTTGAGACTGATAGCTTAAGTAAATGATAAAATTATCTCACCTTAAGACTGATACCTTTAGTAAAAGATAAAATCATCCCACTTGAAGGCTGATACCTTAAGTAAAAGATAAAATCATCCCACTTGAAGGCTGATACCTTAAGTAAAAGATACAACTGCCTAACATTAGGACTTTAACACTGCCATTAAATGATAAAATGATCCCCAATCTCCTTGAAAATACTAATGGGTTTGAGCGGATTGAACAATTCCCTGGAAGCAAGAGCAGGGGAATGTAAGTTACCTGACAGCTGCAACATGTGTGTTCCATTCCTGCAAGTGTTGCATCATGAGGGAAACTTCAGCCTCGTCTGCCCTCAAGTCCTGGTCCTCCAGGTTGTGTTGCCGAGCAGACAAATCTTGCGCCAGGAACTGCCTGTTGAGATAAAGATGACTGATTAATGCCTCACCACCATGTTTGCATTTGCATACAGTGTCAAGGAATTACATGAGAACTGTACAGTGTCCATGAAATATATGAGAACTGTACAGTGTCCATGAAATATATGAGAACTGTACAGTGTCCATGACATATATGAGAACTGTACAGTGTCTATGAATTATATGAGAACTGTACAGTGTCTATGAATTATATGAGAACTGTACAGTGTCTATGAATTATATGAGAACTGTACAGTGTCCATGACATTTATGAGAACTGTACAGTGTCCATGACATATATGAGAACTGTACAGTGTCTATGAATTATATGAGAACTGTACAGTGTCCATAAATTATATGAGAACTGTACAGTGTCCATGACATATATGAGAACTGTACAGTGTCTATGAATTATATGAGAACTGTACAGTGTCCATGAATTATATGAGAACTGTACAGTGTCCATGAATTATATGAGAACTGTACAGTGTCCATGACATATATGAGAACTGTACAGTGTCCATGACATATATGAGAACTGTACAGTGTCCATGACATATATAAGAACTGTACAGTGTCTATGAATTATATGAGAACTGTACAGTGTCCATGACATATATGAGAACTGTACAGTGTCCATGACATATATAAGAACTGTACAGTGTCTATGAATTATATGAGAACTGTACAGTGTCTATGAATTATATGAGAACTGTACAGTGTCTATGAATTATATGAGAACTGTACAGAGTCTATGAATTATATGAGAACTGTACAGTGTCCATGAATTATATGAGAACTGTACAGTGTCTATGACATATATAAGAACTGTACAGTGTCCATAAATTATATGAGAACTGTACAGTGTCTTTGACATATATAAGAACTGTACAGTGTCCATGACATATATGAGAACTGTACAGTGTCTATGACATATATAAGAACTGTACAGTGTCCATGACATATATGAGAACTGTACAGTGTCTATGACATATATAAGAACTGTACAGTGTCCATGACATATATGAGAACTGTACAGTGTCCATGACATATATGAGAACTGTACAGTGTCCATGACATATATGAGAACTGTACAGTGTCCATGACATATATGAGAACTGTACAGTGACTATGACATATATAAGAACTGTACAGTGTCCATGACATATATGAGAACTGTACAGTGTCTATGACATATATAAGAACTGTACAGTGTCCATGACATATATGAGAACTGTACAGTGTCCATGACATATATGAGAACTGTACAGTGTCTATGACATATATGAGAACTGTACAGTGTCCATGACATATATGAGAACTGTACAGTGTCCATGAATTATATGAGAACTGTACAGTGTCCATGAATTATATGAGAACTGTACAGTGTCTATGACATATATAAGAACTGTACAGTGTCTATGAATTATATGAGAACTGTACAGTGTCTATGAATTATATAAGAACTGTACAGTGTCTATGAATTATATGAGAACTGTACAGTGTCTATGAATTATATGAGAACTGTACAGTGTTATATTATATGAACTGTACAGTGTCCATGAATTTTATGAGAACTGTACAGTGTCTATGAATTATATGAGAACTGTACAGTGTCTATGAATTATATGAGAACTGTACAGTGTCTATGAATTATATGAGAACTGTACAGTGTCCATGAATTATATGAGAACTGTACAGTGTCCATGAATTATATGAGAACTGTACAGTGTCCATGAATTATATGAGAACTGTACAGTGTCCATGAAATATATGAGAACTGTACAGTGTCCATGAATTATATGAGAACTGTACAGTGTCTATGAATTATATGAGAACTGTACAGTGTCTATGAATTATTTGAGAAGTGTACAGTGTCCATGAATTATATGAGAACTGTACAGTGTCTATGAATTATATGAGAACTGTACAGTGTCTATGAATTATATGAGAACTGTACAGTGTCCATGAATTATATGAGAACTGTACAGTGTCCATGAATTTTATGAAAACTGTACAGTGTCCATGACATATATAAGAACTGTACAGTGTCTATGAATTATATGAGAACTGTACAGTGTCCATGAATTATATGAGAACTGTACAGTGTCTATGAATTATATGAGCACTGTACAGTGTCCATGAATTATATGAGAACTGTACAGTGTCCATGAATTATATGAGAACTGTACAGTGTCCATGAATTATATGAGAACTGTACAGTGTTTATGAATTATATGAGAACTGTACAGTGTCCATGAATTATATGAGAATTGTACAGTGTCTATGAATTATATGAGAACTGTACAGTGTCCATGAATTATATAAGAACTGTACAGTGTCTATGAATTATATGAGAACTGTACAGTGTCTATGAATTATATGAGAACTGTACAGTGTCCATGAATTATATGAGAACTGTACAGTGTCCATGACATTTATGAGAACTGTACAGTGTCTATGAATTATATGAGAACTGTACAGTGTCTATGAATTATATGAGAACTGTACAGTGTCTATGAATTATATGAGAACTGTACAGTGTCCATGAATTATATGAGAACTGTTCAGTGTCTATGAATTATATGAGAACTGTACAGTGTCCATGAATTATATGAGAACTGTACAGTGTCCATGAAATATATGAGAACTGTACAGTGTCCATGAATTATATGAAAAACTGTACAGTGTCTATGAATTATATGAGAACTGTACAGTGTCTATGAATTATATGAGAACTGTACAGTGTCCATGAATTATATGAGAACTGTACAGTGTCCATGAATTATATGAGAACTGTACAGTGTCTATGAATTATATGAGAACTGTACAGTGTCTATGAATTATTTGAGAAGTGTACAGTGTCCATGAATTATATGAGAACTGTACAGTGTCTATGAATTATATGAGCACTGTACAGTGTCCATGAATTATATGAGAACTGTACAGTGTCCATGAATTATATGAGAACTGTACAGTGTCCATGAATTATATGAGAACTGTACAGTGTCTATGACATATATGAGAACTGTACAGTGTCTATGAATTATATGAGAACTGTACAGTGTCTATGACATATATGAGAACTGTACAGTGTCTATGAATTATATGAGAACTGTACAGTGTCTATGACATATATGAGAACTGTACAGTGTCTATGACATATATGAGAACTGTACAGTGTTTATAACATATATGAGAACTGTACAGTGTCTATGACATATATGAGAACTGTACAGTGTCCATGACATATATGAGAACTGTACAGTGTTTATGACATATATGAGAGCTGTACAGTGTCATGACATATATGAGAACTGTACAGTGTCCATGACATATATGAGAACTGTACAGTGTTTATGACATATATGAGAACTGTACAGTGTTTATAACATATATGAGAACTGTACAGTGTCTATGACATATATGAGAACTGTACAGTGTCCATGACATATATGAGAACTGTACAGTGTTTATGACATATATGAGAGCTGTACAGTGTCCATGACATATATGAGAACTGTACAGTGTCCATGACATATATGAGAACTGTACAGTGTTTATGACATATATGAGAACTGTACAGTGTTTATAACATATATGAGAACTGTACAGTGTCTATGACATATATGAGAACTGTACAGTGTTTATGACATATATGAGAACTGTACAGTGTCCATGAATTATATGAGAACTGTACAGTGTCCATGAATTATATGAGAACTGTACAGTGTCCATGAATTATATGAGAACTGTACAGTGTCCATGAATTATATGAGAACTGTACAGTGTTTATGAATTATATGAGAACTGTACAGTGTTTTATGAATTATATGAGAACTGTACAGTGTCCATGAATTATATGAGAACTGTACAGTGTCCATGAATTATATGAGAACTGTACAGTGTCCATGACATATATGAGAACTGTACAGTGTCCATGAATTATATGAGAACTGTACAGTGTCCATGAATTATATGAGCACTGTACAGAGTCCATGAATTATATGAGCACTTTATAGTGCCTGTGAACTGAGTGAGAAATATACAGGGCTTTTTGCTACCTGGACCTGTCTGAGCATCATCACGTATGACTTTGACTAAAAAATTTGCCCAAAGAACTTTTGCTTCTGCTCTCTCCTCAGAATGTAACGGAAACTGAAATTGCCTGGTCATTCCAGACAATGCTAATATTATTATGGCTTGCTTGGCTTTATTTTGGGTAATACTTCTCAGCAAAGTCATTGACATCTATTCACAGCTTTGTCTCGAGAGAGGTAAATACAAACAGCCTGTGGTGTCATGATTGATTATGACTCAAACATGTTCATATTCCTAACAAAGGTCACACAGCAAGCAAATGTTTTTGCATCTAAACAGGAAACAAACCAAAGTGAACGTTTGCCGAAGCACTAGCGTACAATGCTTGAAAGTTATTTCTGAGGCTGGATCTTGCCCTCCCCACTTCTAGCTTTAGGCAACATTCCTATGGAGCTCTAGTCTATGGCTGGTGGCCGAGGCATCAGCCGACTTGTCACATTTAGTCAGCAGAGGCCCTCTGTTTCACACACTTGGCTGTTATAGGGAGCTGGACCTGAACTCTCTTGTGCCCACCTCTGACAGATGTGGCATGGTTAGCTCAGTCGGCATTAGTCATTACCTTATAAGAAGTTGAGGAGAAAAGTATAATGTCTGGTCTCAACCGAGTCTGGAGAAGTTTAGGAGAGAAGTACAACATCTGGTCTCACCAGGGTCTGGAGAGTTTGAGCAGAGAAGTTCAATGTCTGGTCTCAACCGAGTCCGTAGAAAGTTGAGCAGAGAAGTACAATGTCTGGTCTCAACCGAGGCTGGAGAAAGTATGTTGTGGTAGTTATCATGGCCCTTAAGACATTTTGACAAAATGAATCCCTAGTGCCAGTGGCACACAACTGACGATGGAAGGCTTGAAGCATAGTTGCCATTGTTGTCTGCTCTGCTGTACCCTGGTTTATTTTATAAAATTGTAATCACAAGAAAGAGACAGATAAACATAGTAAAGGAAGGGATCCTTTTTTTTCGGCTATCCTCTGAATAACAGTCCCAAATTATCAAGGCCGAAAATATACTCTAACAGGAACTCAGTCCCATGTAAATTGCGGACCTCTCTCGGTGACTACACAGCATACAGCCGAGAGTATCTCCCATGCCGCTTTTCCCCGGTATGCTGTGTGGTCACCGTAAGAGGTCCGCAATTTACATGTGACTGAGGCCCTGTTAGGGTATATTTTCGGCCTCAATAATTTGGGACCGTTATTGGGAGGATAGCCCTTTTTTCACGCCTTTAGGCACACAGTGCTAGTCCTACATTTAACAGATCAATCAGCACTCCATGGGGTGATGTCAGCAACATGCCAGCCACCTATACTTTCCAGGACTTTACCTGGTACCCACTTAAACCTGGTTAGCGAAGGTCATTTCTGAATCGTAAAAAGTAAAACAAAACGGTCAAGCCAAATGGATTTGAACCCACGACACTGGATTTGCAGGCCATCATCTAGTTGCTATACCAATGATAACCTAACAGCAGGCAGAAACCGAACCCAAACACAACAGTTACAGAGAGGCTCGACTTGGTCCTACCTGACACTGTCAACCTCAGATCTGTAAAAGCGGTAGCGAGCCTTCAACTCTTCGTACTCCTCCTGATCGACTGGTGTCGGCTTTCTCACATAAAACTCCTTAGACTTGGCTACAGGAACCCAGGGGGGTTTCCTGAAGCGGACACTCTGTACAAGAGGTGTGCGCGACGTGCAGGCGGACACGAGAAGAGCTTGTTGTTTGAGTGAAGTCTCCACTAACAGACGTAGGCAGCTGGCCATGGCTCCGTGCTGAGCTGATGTCCCTACACACACAAATGGCGTTTCTAGCCCACTATTTTGTGTCTCAAATTATGAAAAACACCTGTAGAAACCGTTAGAGTATGTGCACAAGTCACAAAAGTTTGTTTACGGACACCAGAGAACGGGTTTTAAACATCAGTTTATGATTGAAGAGGTTTAGTTCGTCACCTCCAGAACAGACTACACATTGTTTGGGCTGTGAGAAAACTGCCACCGGAACCAGTTGTGTAACAAATAAAAAGATTTTTAAAACTATTTCTGATAAAACAGTCTTATTTTTACAACACGGCCACAGTAATTAAATATTTATTATTAGTTTTGCTTAAAACTAACATAAATTAATTATGTTGAAGCATATAAAGCTTAAGATTTGTAATTGTCCCGCGTAGTTACCCTATAAACATTTTAGAGAAAGTATTTCTAGGGCTGAAAGGTCAAAGATCAGAAAGGTGTCCATCAAGTAACTAGAGAACGACAGGTGAACTATTTCATCTGTCACTTGCGGAATGCAAACCTACAGCTTGTCGCTGAAACAGTAGAGATATTACACAGCTTTACAGCAGTATCTTCTGTATTAGGTTGTATTTGACATGAAACTCCCAACATTACATTGTTTACTAATCATCAAGTGCTTTACCGACTGTCCTCTCCACAATCCGCGATCCTCAACCGCATGTATCCCCCTCCATGCCATGAGTGCCATGACAAAAGACTACCAAGAATCTTCTCACGCAGTCTTCGCCTGTCTCTCTTTCCACAGATCTTTCCAGTGGTCACATGTTCCATTTTCTCTCTTTTCATAACATGACCAAAAAATGATGACTGTCTGTGGTAAGTTGTCTTGGCTCTGATTTAGCTATCAGTAGTATCAGTTCCACATCACATCGTCTGCAAATGCCAGCTCTGATATACAGACTGGTCTTATCTTTCAGGACCCTACTTCTTTGTCTTCTCCTTACAAGTCTAGATGACATCATCAGTCATGAGAATGAAGAGGTAAGGTGAGAGAATATCAACTTGTCTAACACCGCTGGTGGTCTTAAACTCTTGTGACTTTTGGTCTGCTGTTCTTACATAATCTCAGCAGCTTTTGAAGAAACTCTGTATTGCACTGATTAGGGATGTTTTTTCCTGCAAAGCAGTTCCATAGCTTGCTCCAGGGTACCTTATCAAATGCCATTTCTAGATTAAAAAAACAAAGGTGCATCTCACTCTTATATTCAAGAGCGTTTAACTCAATCAGTTTTATTCTAAACTGTCCTAAAACTGGAGAGGATCACAATAGCAGTGTGTTCCTGGTCTAGTTTTTGCTCCAATTAAACTGCTCCTAGATCTTTTTAAAATCAATATGTAATCAGTCTGATTGCGGACATTATCGCCAGGACTTTTCCAAGTCCACTGTCGACAAGGGTGGTATTTAAACCAGGTGTTACCAAGTTAACATGTATTTAAACTGTTACCAAACAGAAGCTTAATTATAATTTACTACTAGTAGTGTTATAAGAGTGCCGTGGTGTAGCAGCTCGCCTAAGGATCTGTTTGACAAGACGTATGATAGCTTGCTAGGATTCTACAATAATGGTATCCTCTTGCTTTCAACGATATGTCAGCAGGGTTAGAGATGAATCCTGCAAGGTGGAGAGATTATACCTGCAGCAGATTATACACCCCTGACACCCTGCTAAACTCTGTTTGTTCCCACACCCCTCACACCCTGCTAAACTCTGTTTGTTTCCATATATATATATATATATATATATATATATATATATATATATATATATATATATATATATATATATATAAATGATGTGAGCACTTGCACAACTGAGCAATCTGGTGAGGACAGTCTTTATTAAGTGCATGAGCAGTTTCATCTGCTTCGGACACATTGGTTTTTCATCTACATCCTGAAACTGCAACTTGAAGATTTGATACCATAATTCAGGGAGCCATAACAGAAATAAATCCCTGACAACTGCTTGTGCCCAACACTGCCTGTATTTACCACTTGGGGGGGGGGGGAGATGGTGTCTGAGCCTTAGGATTGAGAGCTGCATGGCTAGTACTCTCGCCATGAACGGTGAAGTTTAGGATGATATTTTCACTCCTGACAGAAACAAATCTACAGCCTTACAGAGGATTCCAGCATGCAACCCCAGCTTTGTGGACTATTTGGCCAACCACTCCCTTCAGCCAAATAAAACAGTTATTGAGGGGCAGCGATGCTACACACAGTAACTGTCTGTCCTGGGTGGGAAGGGAGCCAACTCAACTTGTATCTGTCTTACTGCTTCTCTTGTTTGTGTCAAATTCTTAAAGAACATCACCGGTTACATGGTTCTCAACACTATTTGTTGCCAGATGTTCTGGAAAGTTTGAGTTAAAAAGCTGCTGATGTCACCACAACAACAATGGCTTCAGTAAAACAAGCAAAATCTGTCCTTCGTCAGCAGATAAAACAAACATTGAAGTCATTATCACAGCATGACAAAGACATGCAGTCAGCCATCATCCACCACAAGGTGAGTTAGAATACTGCTGGTGTCATCATCACAATTAAGCTGTCATAGGATTATTGTTATTTTAAAAAAATGGGGGGGGGGGGGAGGAGGGGTTAGGGAGAGAATAAGTCATAGGAGAAAAGGATTACAAACAAATTAATAGCCAAGAAACAGATCATAAATATGCCACATACTTGTCATGGAAACCAGAAATATAATGCAGTTATTGTCGAAGATTCTGATGGTCTTGTTGTGACACTCTTCCTGGCCACAGGCTGTGATTCTCATGGCTGCCTGTAGCACAGTGGAAAACTATCATCTCGAGGTGCTAATAAATTATTGTTCTGTATTTATAACACAACCGCTAAGATTACAGCTCAGATCACAGCTCAGTGCAGACTGCTTGAGGTAATATCAGGTGTGTTGAATTTCTGTTGTGAAGAACAGTTTGTTTATCTCAACAATTTTTCTTTCCTGTCTTTGAAAAAAAAAATGACTGGTTGAGTAGAATCCATTTATCACAAATTTTAAGATACGCCAAACGATTAAACATGTCCACTGTATATTTTAATCTGCTAAAGGTGCTTTTTTTTTTTTAAATTTCTGGATATTTGTACAACCTACATATATACATACATACACACACACCCACAATCACACATACACCCACATACTTACAACATACATACATAAATACACACACATACTTACAAACCTAAATATACATACATATATCCACATACATACACATAAAAACATACACACACACACCCACTATCACACATACACCCACATAATACTTACATACATACATACTTACACATATACACTAACATAGATACATGCATACACACATCCATAAAACACACACACACTTACACCTCCCTAACAAGCATGTCCAAAGAGTTGACTAACCGGGGACTTCCTTTGAAGTTAGAGTGCATCTGCCTGAGAATCTAAGAACCAACAATCTGCATACACATAAGTCAGATCTGTAAAATGGATATGCACACAGCACTCAGGTTCTCAAACAAGACTCAAGTCCAGAGATGGACAAACAACCAGCACTTTCTGCTGGAGTTTAAGAAAGAGCAGAAGAAGAAGAAGAATTTCCACTGAAATACCTAAACTAGGTTGTCATCTCTAGTCATTCTGTACATCTCACCTCTGGTTGTATAAGACAGTCATATAGTTGATATGTACATTTGACATTTACGGCCCTCTTCCTCCCCCTTGTGGGTTCCAGGGGCCCTGTATTTGGGAAACCAAGAACCCCCACCCCCCCCCCCTTACCCCCCACCCCCGCCCCCACCCCCGCCCCCAACATGATGTTGTACCTGGCATGTTATAAAAGTAGATTAATTAGGTGTGTTTCTTTCAAAGTTGAAGTGCGTCTGCCAGAGAGGCGAGGAACCAACAGTTTGCATATAAGTAAGCCAGATCTGTAAAACTGATGTACACACACAACTCAAGTTCTGGAACAAGACCAAAGTGGATGAACAACTAGAGTTTACCGCTGGTGATGGCTAAGACACAAAAGATACTTTCTGTCCACCTTTGCAAATCCTTGCCACAGCTGTACTTGTAAACTTGCAAATCCTTGCTACAGCTGTCCTTGTGAACTGCTTCCAGGTGCTTGCCTCTGATGTATACAAGAGCAGTCAGAGAATCTCAATCTTCCTGCCAATAAACGATGAAGTCAATACGCTACCAATACTGAAATCCATGCTGGAGTCAGGCAAGCAGTGCTTCATCCCGCACTGCCAAGGTCAGGACATGATCATGGTCCCCCTGGAGTCCTGGGAAGCCTTTGAGAAACTGCCATCTAATTCCTGGGGAATTAAACAGCCAACAGAGTTTGATGCATCTCAGGATGCAATTAATTCTGGTAAAGATGTCATTATACGTTTTTAGTTTTTATTTTCACTTCGGTTTGTCTGTAAGAGGCTAGCTCACAGAAATAGTTCACAGCTCAGATTGACACAAGACAAACCTGGCACTCAATCAGCACTCTTGTGTGCAGCACAGAATATTAGGAGCATTCCTGTAAAGCCTTTTAGTACCAGGCCGCCCATAATTGCATGTGTTGAACCTGATCATGTCATAGTTATGTGATCATGTCATAGTTATGTGATCATGTCATAGTTATGTGATCATGTCATAGTTATGTGATCATGTGTTGAACCTGATCATGTCATAGTTATGTGATCATGTCATAGTTATGTGATCATGTCATAGTTATGTGATCATGTCATAGTTATGTGATCATGTCATAGTTATGTGATCATGTCATAGTTATGTGATCATGTGTTGAACCTGATCATGTCATAGTTATGTGATCATGTCATAGTTATGTGATCATGTCATAGTTATGTGATCATGTCATAGTTATGTGATCATGTCATAGTTATGTGATCATGTCATAGTTATGTGATCATGTCATAGTTATGTGATCATGTCATAGTTATGTGATCATGTGTTGAACCTGATCATGTCATAGTTATGTGATCATATGTTGAACCTGATCATGTCATAGTTATGTGATCATGTGTTGAACCAGATCATGTCATAGTTATGTGATCATGTCATAGTTATGTGATCATGTCATAGTTATGTGATCATGTGTTGAACCTGATGATGTTATAGTTATATGATCATGTCATAGTTATGTGATCATGTCATAGTTATGTGATCATGTCATAGTTTTGTGATCATGTGTTGAACCTGATTATGTCATAGTTATGTGATCATGTCATAGTTATGTGATCATGTCATAGTTATGTGATCATGTCATAGTTATGTGATCATGTGTTGAACCTGATTATGTCATAGTTATAAGATCATGTCATAGTTATGTGATCATGTCATAGTTATGTGATCATGTCATAGTTATGTGATCATGTCATAGTTATGTGATCATGTGTTGAACCTGATCATGTCATAGTTATGTGATCATGTCATAGTTATGTGATCATGTCATAGTTATGTGATCATGTCATAGTTATGTGATCATGTGTTGAACCTGATGATGTTATAGTTATGTGATCATGTCATAGTTATGTGATCATGTCATAGTTATGTGATCATGTCATAGTTATGTGATCATGTCATAGTTATGCGATCATGTCATAGTTATGTGATCATGTGTTGAACCTGATCATGTCATAGTTATGTGATCATGTCATAGTTATGTGATCATGTCATAATTATGTGATCATGTGTTGAACCTGATAATGTCATAGTTATGTGATCATGTGTTGAACCTGATTATGTCATAGTTATGTGATCATGTGTTGAACCTGATTATGTCATAGTTATGTGATCATGTCATAGTTATGTGATCATGTGTTGAACCTGATTATGTCATAGTTATGTGATCATGTGTTGAACCTGATTATGTCATAGTTATGTGATCATGTCATAGTTATGTGATCATGTCATAGTTATGTGATCATGTCATAGTTATGTGATCATGTCATAGTTATGTGATCATGTCATAGTTATGTGATCATGTGTTGAACCTGATGATGTTATAGTTATGTGATCATGTCATAGTTATGTGATCATGTCATAGTTATGTGATCATGTGTTGAACCTGATCATGTTACAGTTATGTGATCATGTCATAGTTATGTGATCATGTCATAGTTATGTGATCATGTCATAGTTTTGTGATCATGTGTTGAACCTGATTATGTCATAGTTATGTGATCATGTCATAGTTATGTGATCATGTCATAGTTATGTGATCATGTCACAGTTATGTGATCATGTGTTGAACCTGATTATGTCATAGTTATAAGATCATGTCATAGTTATGTGATCATGTCATAGTTATGTGATCATGTCATAGTTATGTGATCATGTCATAGTTATGTGATCATGTGTTGAACCTGATCATGTCATAGTTATGTGATCATGTCATAGTTATGTGATCATGTCATAGTTATGTGATCATGTCATAGTTATGTGATCATGTGTTGAACCTGATGATGTTATAGTTATGTGATCATGTCATAGTTATGTGATCATGTCATAGTTATGTGATCATGTCATAGTTATGTGATCATGTCATAGTTATGCGATCATGTCATAGTTATGTGATCATGTGTTGAACCTGATCATGTCATAGTTATGTGATCATGTCATAGTTATGTGATCATGTCATAATTATGTGATCATGTGTTGAACCTGATAATGTCATAGTTATGTGATCATGTGTTGAACCTGATTATGTCATAGTTATGTGATCATGTGTTGAACCTGATTATGTCATAGTTATGTGATCATGTCATAGTTATGTGATCATGTGTTGAACCTGATTATGTCGTAGTTATGTGATCATGTGTTGAACCTGATTATGTCATAGTTATGTGATCATGTCATAGTTATGTGATCATGTCATAGTTATGTGATCATGTCATAGTTATGTGATCATGTCATAGTTATGTGATCATGTCATAGTTATGTGATCATGTGTTGAACCTGATGATGTTATAGTTATGTGATCATGTCATAGTTATGTGATCATGTCATAGTTATGTGATCATGTGTTGAACCTGATCATGTTACAGTTATGCGATCATGTCCTAGTTATGTGATCATGTCATAGTTATGTGATCATGTCATAGTTATGCGATCATGTCATAGTTATGTGATCATGTGTTGAACCTGATCATGTCATAGTTATGTGATCATGTCATAGTTATGTGATTTTGTCATAGTTATGTGATCATGTCATAGTTATGTGATCATGTGTTGAACCTGATGATGTCATAGTTATGTGATCATGTTATAGTTATGTGATCATGTGTTGAACCTGATCATGTCATAGTTATGTGATCATGTGTTGAACCTGATCATGTCATAGTTATGTGATTATGTCATAGTTATGTGATCATGTGTTGAACCTGATTATGTCATAGTTATGTGATCATGTCATAGTTATGTGATCATGTCATAGTTATGTGATCATGTCATAGTTATGTGATCATGTCATAGTTATGTGATCATGTCATAGTTATGTGATCATGTGTTGAACCTGATTATGTCATAGTTATGTGATCATGTCATAGTTATGTGATCATGTCATAGTTATGTGATCATGTCATAGTTATGTGATCATGTCATAGTTATGTGATCATGTCATAGTTATGTGATCATGTGTTAAACCTGATCATGTCATAGTTATGTGATCATGTCATAGTTATGTGATCATGTCATAGTTATGTGATCATGTCATAGTTATGTGATCATGTCATAGTTATGTGATCATGTCATAGTTATGTGATCATATCATAGTTATGTGATCATGTGTTGAACCTGATCATGTCATAGTTATGTGATCATGTCATAGTTATGTGATGATGTCATAGTTATGTGATCATGTCATAGTTATGTGATCATGTGTTGAACCTGATCATGTCATAGTTATGTGATCATGTCATAGTTATGTGATCATGTCATAGTTATGTGATCATGTCATAGATATGTGATCATGTCATAGTTATGTGATCATGTCACAGTTATGTGATCATGTCATAGTTATGTGATCATGTCATAGTTATGTGATCATGTCATAGATATGTGATCATGTCATAGTTATGTGATCATGTCACAGTTATGTGATCATGTCATAGTTATGTGATCATGTCATAGTTATGTGATCATGTCATAGTTATGTGATCATGTGTTGAACCTGATCATGTCACAGTTATGTGATCATGTCACAGTTATGTGATCATGTCATAGTTATGTGATTATGTCATAGTTATGTGATTTTGTCATAGTTATGTGATCATGTGTTGAACCTGATCATGTCATAGTTATGTGATCATGTCATAGTTATGTGATCATGTCATAGTTATGTGATTTTGTCATAGTTATGTGATCATGTCATAGTTATGTGATCATGTCATAGTTATGTGATCATGTCATAGTTATGTGATCATGTCATAGTTATGTGATCATGTGTTGAACCTGATCATGTCACAGTTATGTGATCATGTCATAGTTATGTGATCATGTGTTGAACCTGATCATGTTACAGTTATGCGATCATGTCCTTGTTATGTGATCATGTCATAGTTATGCGATCATGTCATAGTTATGTAACAAGTACAATCCAGAGAATAAAAGAGCTTGAGCTTGTTATCCCATCGGTTCTTTTTCTGACCATTGAGAAAATTGTCGACTTGATCCAAAATCTGTCTATAAAAGCTCAGAAAGTGATGATTAAGAAAGTCCAGTGAACTAAGATGTGAGGAAAAGACACTGGTAGTGGATTTGGCACACATTGAGAAAAATGATGACTAGAATATCCTTGCACTGAAACCCACAGAGTGGCAATGACAAAAAGCAGATCAGGTATGTGTTCTTGTCCTGCTGATGAGAGTCATGGATCAAGCCTGTGTTCTTGTCCTGCTGATGTGAGTCACGGATCAAGCCTGTGTTCTTGTCCTGCTGATGTGAGTCACGGATCAAGCCTGTGTTCTTGTCCTGCTGCTGCCGGGCCTTAGAATGTTAACTTTGTTTGCCAGATTGTCCTAATAAGATGTGAATGACATTTTTGCCCTGGTAATGGGAATTAAAAATTGAATTTGTGAAATCAACTATAAAAGCAATTAAAACAACCTTTCTATTTTTGTTTACAACAGGAGGACTGGATTTGGTATTTATGCCAGGGTTGGCATTCACTCAGCGTGGAGCCAGACTAGGCAGAGGAAAAGGCTACTATGATAAGTATTTAAGGAAATGTGCAGACGCAGGAAGAATGCCTTACACTGAAGCTTTGATCTTTAGGCAGCAAGTGATTGATGACATCCCGACTCAGGATCATGACATTCTCATTGACTCATTAATTTATCCTACACAACAAGACTTGGAAGCATTCAGTCACTCTTCAAAGTGAGAAGTTTTAATTGTCAGTTTTGTCAATCAAATTCTTGTTAGGTTATTCTGTGTGTGGAATTATTTTTTCAGTGATTATATAATTCATTTCTGTATTTTTTCATTTATTTATTTATTATTATTTTGTATGTATGATATCATTTTACAAAGAATAAAATATCTTGGAACTCATCAAGCAGAAACTAAAAATGGTTTTCCAGAACTCTACAGGCTACAGAACTAGAAAATTAAACAGTCTGGAGGTTTGCATATGCTGCAAAAAAGGTTGTATTACATGGACACAAAACACAAAAACAATCAAGTAGGGAGGTTCTGGGCAACTTGGGAAGCAATAGAGTTGCTGGAAGTAATGAAAAGAGACAGTTGAAATATTTCTGCCACTTTAAACAACACAACACTTTTTTAAAATAACCATATGGGGGGGGGGGGAAGGGGGAGGCGCAAGAGAGCAAAAGGTGGACACCAATACAAGTTGCATGACAACATGTAGAGATCGACAAACAGAGGTCTGAGTGTGTGACTCTCCACTAAGAGCCAGTCATGTACACGCCGCAATCTGTCAAACTGTTGAATGAATGCCATTGAGCAGTTTTTCAAGGTGCCTGTTTTGGTACCAGAAATGCTGTTCACTTACTCATACATCAAGCTTGTCAACCACCACCTGTCTCACTGAGTTGTATTGTTGTATCTGTTTCCTCAGCTGGGAGAGACTGAGGTGCAACTGCTGTACAACCTTCATCATTCATGACATTATTGATTATGTGTCATCTGTCATAGAGTGCACTAGTCCACTAGTCATCTCTTCTGTTGAACTGAAGCTCAGGTTTGATCAAGTCTGACTTATAGGTACATTAACTGATTGGGCCTCATGTTTTAGAGGCAGAGGTATATTAATGAGTACATCAAACAGTTTGCTTTGCTCAGACATAATGTCTATATCACAACACCTACCTTGTGTTATACAGAGGTGAAGGTCAGTCTCTGGAAGTGAATGTACAGTAAGAAAACAACAACTGAGGTGTTGGCAAGCCCAATGTTTGTGTGAGGAAGTCATAATTTAATCTCTATTAAGACTTATCTGTATTTATGACTGCTTGCATACTAAAGCAACTCTGAGTAGACATTTCTGCTGAACCTGTCACGTCCCTTCCCAGATGTCACAACCTTCGCTAGAAGTCTCATCCAAGCCTCTCCTAGACATGTAGTTCCAAGACTGTTGTTTATGGGGGGAGGGGGATGGCGGATATCTTAGGGAGAGACGATGCTGCCTGCTTATTGCTAGAACTCAGTCAGTGAGAGTTATTTGCTCTTGTATGATATGATGAAGAACTGATGATGGGTGATGACTTGATTGTAGACTGGCAGCACTCATGTCCAGAACATACCCACTCCAGAGCTCTACTGATAGACAGCCCAAGACTTGGGTACTGATTGTCTGCCAACATACTTGTCCAGATCATACCCACTCCAGAGCTCTGCTGATAGACAGCCCAAGACTTAGATACAGATTGTCTGCCAACATGCTTGTCTAGATCATACCCACCCCGGAGCTCTGCTGATAGACAGCCCAAGACTTGGGTGCTGATTGTCTGCCAACATGCTTGTCTAGATCATACCCACTCCAGGGCTCTGCTGATAGACAGCTCAAGACTTGGGTGCTGATTGTCTGCCAACATGCTTGTCTAGATCATACCCACTCCAGGGCTCTGCTGATAGACAGCTCAAGACTTGGGTGCTGATTGTCTGCCAACATGCTTGTCTAGATCATACCCACTCCAGAGCTCTGCTGATAGACAGCCCAAGACTTAGATACTGATTGTCTGCCAACATGCTTGTCTAGATCATTCCCACTCCAGAGCTCTGCTGATAGATAGCCCAAGACTTCGATACTGATTGTCTGCCAACATGCTTGTCTAGATCATACCCACTCCAGAGCTCTGCTGATAGACAGCCCAAGACTTGGGTGCTGATTGTCTGCCAACATGCTTGTCCAGATCATACCCACTCCAGGGCTCTGCTGATAGACAGCCCAAGACTTGGGTGCTGATTGTCTGCCAACATGCTTGTCCAGATCATACCCACTCTAGAGCTCTGCTGATAGACAGCCCAAGACTTAGATACTGATTGTCTGCCAACATGCTTGTCCAGATCATACCCACCCCGGAGCTCTGCTGATAGACAGCCCAAGACTTGGGTGCTGATTGTCTGCCAACATGCTTGTCTAGATCATACCCACTCCAGAGCTCTGCTGATAGACAGCCCAAGACTTGGGTGCTGATTGTCTGCCAACATGCTTGTCCAGATCATACCCACTCCAGAGCTCTGCTGATAGACAGCCCAAGACTTAGATACTGATTGTCTGCCAACACTGATGTGACTCACTTGAAGTCAAAGTTGTTGGTCCCTGGCAGACCATAGTTGCTTGCTCACTCTTTCATTAACCAGACTAGTGATGGTTTCCAGGATGCCTTGTCTCTACATTCCATGAATATAGTATAAAGTGAGATATACAATGTTGCTCAATAATATACTTCAAATTATTTGCCAAAGAATATTATACTTTATGAACTATTTATTCTATCTCATACATCTTTTCAGACGACTTCATATTTTCTTGTAATTAAATGCCTGCTCATCACTGACTTTGCCAGGATTGTCATTGTTGTCATCATCATCATCATCTCTGTTGCTTTAATGTTTTGTCTCAGTTACCTTCCAGTGGAGCATAGGCCCCAGCAAGCTCATACCACACCCTCTGTCCTTGGCTGCAACTCCCCCATGTCCTCCCCGCTCATCAATTACTTTCTGCATGGATTCCATAGGAAAGACTTTCTAGTTACTACCAACAGGGTTTTTTCAGTGTCTTTTACAGGAGCGTCAACTATTCCTCAATTCTTGATTCATTGGAATTTGTATAGTGCACTCCATAAGCTCCACAATGATGATGTGTTGTATACTTAGCCTGAACATGCACCAGTTAATGAATATTTGTAGTTTCTTTATTGGTGATTATTTGACTTCTCCTTGTTTCTCATCCATATTGTGGAACTCATCTGACATTAAGATTTTTTTCATCAGTTTTTAATTTTGTCTAGAACTTTATTTCCTCATGTTTCACACAATCAAAAGCTTTCATATAGTCACTGAAGCATAACCACACATCATTTGTTACTTCTACAGCTGTCTCTGACAAAGTGCTGATGATGTATAAGGCACTGTTGTACCTGTGCTTTCTTCAGCTGTCTCTGACCAAGTGCTGATGATGTATAAGGCACTGTTGTACCTGTGCCTTCTACAAATCCACATTGGTCTTTACTATTTTCTGATGTAATCTTCTTTCTTATGTTGTAATTATTCTCAGTGACAACCTTTGTCACATGGCTCCTATGACTAAATTGTATGATATTCTTAACATTTTAAAGCCAGGTTTCTTTGACAAAGCAATAAATGTGGATTTTAATAGGTCATTAGGAATGTTCTCACTAGGTTTTTTTTTTTTAGTATCCAGAAGCCATGAGTTATAAACCCTTAGGCTCGGGATTATGGATATCGCAAACCTTCGGCCTTGATTCCATGATAAATACCGTAAATCTGGGAGAAATGTGGCTTTTCTGCCTACCCCCAGGCGTGAACCCGGATCACAAGGAGTTCGTCACCCGGTCACCGCGCAATCCCATTTAGCCAGCTACGCTAGCAAGCCAGGCATTCACTATTATAAATGTCATTTTAAAAAATGTCTTTATTTCAATCCCAAAATGTTCCAGAGCTTCAGTGTCTTCCAGTGTCAAGTTGTCTGGCCCAGGTAAGTTTCCTTTCTTCATGTGATGCAGTATTGGTAGGCTTTCACTGTTATCCTTCAAATCTTCTGGTCTATTATCGTCATAGTTTCCCCTAATGTATTCTGTCCATCTTTTAATGATATCCTTTAGTTGCGAAGACTCAGTGCTCTTACATTTCTTCTTCCATGTGAATGTATTTATTTGTTGGTGCGTGGAATGTCAGTGATATAATAAATCGCTGAACTTTTTGAGGCCCGAACAATGCTGTCTGTGTTGACTGAGACGTTCAGATTTGCCCAAACCACACAGTCTGTGTCAATTGTTTGTTCCATGTATATTGATTTGCATACTGCTCCATATTCGTTTCTAATGTTGCGAACTACCATTAAAATATTTAGGGAAGGTTACTCTAATGTTTTTCTTTGCATACAAATCCTTGTTCACATTTTGGCACAAACTGACCCGACAGGAACTGGGCTTCCTCCACCACCAGTGGGTATCTCCTCCAGAACATTGGTTTCATATGTACAAACAAGTTGTTATATGTCACATCCTCTCCAAATGGCTTCAACGGATACAACTCTTTGATAATAAACATTAACATTTGACCTTAACTAAAATAATTAACTGGCAACAGCAGACAAAACTAGCAGACGCATGTCACAAAAACTGCCCTGTAAAATGGCCAGGAATAAATGCAGATTATTAGTTTAGAGAGGTCCTGGCCAAACAAGACACAATGAGATCTGGACATTCAGGGTTTCCACTGTGGTAAGGCACTGACATATCAGTTGATGATACACCACATTAGCTGCAGAACAAGCTAAAGCTTCATTCTGAGTCCAGCATTTACTGATACAAAATAAAACTATAGTCTTAATCATTAATTTGTGAACTGACTCAAACCAATGCCTATGTGAACCATGTCTACCTGAACATGTCCCTGGTGTCAGTTCTCACATTTGTGCATAGTTATCATTTTAGCCAGCATATTACCATTGTAACTGTCTGCAACCTTGCACAATGACTACTGATAGTTCTCAAGAAAGCACTGCAGGACATCTGAACCATTCATCCCTTAGATTGTGCTGAGACAGCCCAGGCATGCGTGTGACAAACCACTGATCAAACTAAATATCCAATCACCCCAAGCACCAGAGCATATGGCCTGCAGTGCATCCATGTTAGCTGCTATGCTGCCCAAGCCTGCATCATCCATCAATAGAGCTGACTGAGCCTGCATCATCTCTCAATAGAGCTGACTGAGCCTGCATCATCTCTCAATAGTGCTGACTGAGCCTGTATCATCTCTCAATAGAGCTGCCCAAGCCTGCATCAACCCTCAATAGAGCTGCCCAAGCCTGTATCATCCCTTAATAGAGCTGCCCGAGCCTGCATCATCTCTCAATAGAGCTGACTGAGCCTGCATCATCTCTCAATAGAGCTGACTGAGCCTGCATCATCTCTCAATAGTGCTGACTGAGCCTGTATCATCTCTCAATAGAGCTGACTGAGCCTGTATCATCTCTCAATAGAGCTGACTGAGCCTGCATCATCTCTCAATAGAGCTGACTGAGCCTGTATCATCTCTCAATAGAGCTGCCCAAGCCTGCATCATCCCTCAATAGAGCTGCCCAAGCCTGTATCATCTCTCAATAGAGCTGACTGAGCTTGCATCATCTCTCAATAGTGCTGACTGAGCCTGCATCATCTCTCAATAGTGCTGACTGAGCCTGCATCATCTCTCAGTAGAGCTGACTGAGCCTGCATTATCTCTCAATAGAGCTGACTGAGCCTGCATCATCCCTCAATAGTGCTGACTGAGCCTGTATCATCTCTCAATAGAGCTGCCCAAGCCTGTATCATCCCTCAATAGTGCTGTCCAAGCCTGCATCATCCCTCAATAGAGCTGACTGAGCCTGCATCATCCCTCAATAGAGCTGACTGAGCCTGCATCATCCCTCAATAGTGCTTCCTGAGCCTGTATCATCCCTCAATAGAGCTGACTGAGCCTGCATCATCCCTCAATAGTGCTGCCTAAGCCTGCATCATCCCTCAATAGTGCTGACTGAGCCTGCATCATCTCTCAATAGAGCTGACTGAGCCTGCATCATCTCTTAGTAGAGCTGACTAAGCCTGCATCATCTCTCAATAGAGCTGACTGAGCCTGCATCATCTCTCAATAGTGCTGACTGAGCCTGCATCATCCCTCAATAAAGCTGCCCAAGCCTGTATCATCCCTCAATAGTGCTGACTGAGCCTGCATCATCTCTCAATAGAGCTGACTGAGCCTGCATCATCTCTCAATAGAGCTGACTGAGCCTGCATCATCCCTCAATAGAGCTGCCCAAGCCTGTATCATCCCTCAATAGAGCTGCCCAAGCCTGTATCATCCCTCAATAGAGCTGCCCAAGCCTGTATCATCCCTCAATAGAGCTGCCCAAGCCTGTATCATCCCTCAATAGAGCTGCCCAAGCCTGTATCATCTCTCAATAGAGCTGCCCAAGCCTGTATCATCTCTCAATAGAGCTGACTGAGCCTGCATCATCTCTCAATAGTGCTGACTGAGCCTGCATCATCTCTCAATAGTGCTGACTGAGCCTGCATCATCTCTCAGTAGAGCTGACTGAGCCTGCATCATCTCTCAATAGAGCTGACTGAGCCTGCATCATCCCTCAATAGTGCTGACTGAGCCTGCATCATCTCTCAATAGAGCTGACTGAGCCTGCATCATCCCTCAATAGTGCTGACTGAGCCTTATCATCCCTCAATAGTGCTGTCCAAGCCTGCATCATCCCTCAAAAGAGCTGACTGAGCCTGCATCATCCCTCAATAGTGCTTCCTGAGCCTGTATCATCACTCAATAGAGCTGACTGAGCCTGCATCATCCCTCAATAGTGCTGCCCAAGCCTGAATCATCCCTCAATAGAGCTGACTGAGCCTGCATCATCCCTCAATAGAGCTGACTGAGCCTGCATCATCCCTCAATAGTGCTGCCCAAGCCTGAATCATCCCTCAATAGAGCTGACTGAGCCTGCATCATCTCTCAATAGAGCTGACTGAGCCTGCATCATCCCTCAATAGAGCTGACTGAGCCTGCATCATCCCTCAATAGTGCTTCCTGAGCCTGTATCATCCCTCAATAGAGCTGACTGAGCCTGCATCATCCCTCAATAGTGCTGCCCAAGCCTGAATCATCCCTCAATAGACCTGACTGAGCCTGCATCATCTCTCAATAGAGCTGACTGAGCCTGCATCATCTCTCAATAGAGCTGACTGAGCCTGCATCATCTCTCAATAGAGCTGACTGAGCCTGTATCATCTCTCAATAGTGCTGAATGAGCCTGTATCATCCCTTAATAGTGCTGACTGAGCCTGCATCATCCCTCAATAGTGCTGACTGAGCCTGCATCATCTCTCAGTAGAGCTGACTGAGCCTGCATCATCTCTCAATAGAGCTGACTGAGCCTGCATCATCTCTCAATAGAGCTGACTGAGCCTGCATCATCTCTCAATAGAGCTGACTGAGCCTGCATCATCCCTCAATAGTGCTGCCCAAGCCTGCATCATCCCTCAATAGAGCTGAATGAGCCTGCATCATCCCTCAATAGTGCTGACTGAGCCTGTATCATCCCTCAGTAGTGCTGACTGAGCCTGTATCATCCCTTAATAGTGCTGACTGAGCCTGTATCATCTCTCAATAGTGCTGACTGAGCCTGTATCATCTCTCAGTAGTGCTGAGCCTGCATCATCCCTCAATAGTGCTTCCTGAGCCGACTCACTTCAGATTACTTCGTAACCATTGTGTGGTGACCCAACATAAATGTGCTCTATGGTATTACAGTTGAACAGGGTTTCCCAGTTAAATTGAACGGGCTTCCTAATTACAGTTAAACCGGGTTTCCCAGTTACAATTGAACGGGCTTCCTAATTACAGTTGAACAGGGTTTCCCAGTTACAGTTAAACGGGGTCTCCCAATTACAGTTGAAAAGGTTTTCCCAATTACAGTTGAATAGGGTTTCCCAATTACAGTTGAACGGGGTTTTCCTGATGTATACCTGTTTGATTCTGATCCTTGAGATCCTAATCCTACATAATACAAATCTGGAGGGGAAAAGCTTTGAAAAAAAAAAATGCATGGTGACTTCTGATAAAGATTCCTGGAACCTCAAGAGTAGCCATCCATTATTTCGTGTCATTTGTAGGCCTCTGAGGAAACAAGAAAATAACTCTCTGCTTGTATTTGTTCACTATAATTTTCCATGAACATAAAAGACAGTTGAGCTGTACAACCAGACACTGGAAAACTAAACCATCCTTCAGAAAGTAGTTTTCTGTGGTCATATGATGACAAAAATCCCTGGAGAAAATGATGACAACAGGAAATATGAGTGGCAAAAGGCCCAGAGGCAGACTAAGGAAACGACTGACATGTACGGAGATTCGATCATTTCTGCTGTCTGGTAGATTGCAAGATGATCATTTCTGCTGTCTGGTAGATCACAAGATGATCATTTCTGCTGTCTGGTAGATCACAAGATGATCATTTCTGCTGTCTGGTAGATCACAAGATGATCATTTCTGCTGTCTGGTAGATTGTAAGATGATCATTTCTGCTGTCTGGTAAATCACAAGATGATCATTTCTGCTGTCTGGTAGATCACAAGATGATCATTTCTGCTGTCTGGTAGATCACAAGATGATCATTTCTGCTGTCTGGTAGATCACAAGATGATCATTTCTGCTGTCTGGTAGATCACAAGATGATCATTTCTGCTGTCTGGTAGATCACAAGATGATCATTTCTGCTGTCTGGTAGATCACAAGATGATCATTTCTGCTGTCTGGTAGATTGTAAGATGATCAGAGTCAAGTACCTTGATTTTGACACTGGTGTTGAGAGCCAGCCGTTGAGTAAGCAATGGCAAACACATCGCCATCATCATCATGTAGCAGGTCCTTTGCAGACCGTCGCTATCACAATCTGCCTGAAAGAAACCTGGTCTCTCACCAGCTCTTCCACCTCATGTACTCTTACACCCAAAGAGTCACTTATATCCTGTACCCATCTTCATGCTGGTAAGCCGCTGCCCCTCCTGCCTGATTCTACGCATTCTGCTATTATTTTTTCCAATCTGCCGTGGCACTTGATATATCAGAAATATTTCAGCTTCCAAGACAAGATGCTGTTCACTGGCCAGTCTTTCTTGGTGTTCTTTTAGGATGTCCGTATTTCTTTTCTTCTTTGTCCACGGTATTCTGAGAATCTTTAGCATTTCGGCTCAAAAGCCCCTATTATCTTTCTTAAAGTCTGTGAGATTGACTCACATCCATGATACATTTTTTCAGATAATAATTTGGTAGTTTGCCAGTCGCAAAATAGACTAGCCCAAAAAAAAAAAAAATGGGTTTTATTCTATAACATTGTGTAAAGGCTATACAGCTAACTATTTTAAATGTTATTTGTTCTTGGTAACATAACAAAATATGCACACAATATCCAGTTGCTGTCATTACTCATTTATTCTGTATGTAAAAATTATGGAATTTGTTGTAACATTTAAACAAGAAATATTTGAGCTGTGAAAGTATAAATATAGGCTGTTTGTGTCAAAATTGTGTGTGGAAAAACACTGTTGAATTCTGGGAATAGTCAATAGGCAGATCTTTTCCAGCTGCCTTGGCTCCGAGTGCTGCAGCTCCAACAGTGGCCTCAGCATTCAGGCGGCGCAGGGTGATCTCTCGGATTCCTGTTTCAGCAACTCTTGAGCGTAATTCCTCAACAAAACCTGGACAAACCACAGTGAAAAGTGTGTCAAAGTATAGCTATCTATGAAACTACCACTCTCACCAAAAAGCACCATTCTTTTAAAATTCTCTGCATCTCTCTCTTTAAATCTCTCTTTTATTTCTGTCTTGTGTCTTACATCTGTGAATCCTTCAAAACTCTGAATCTTGTACTACTGCCTGTATCTGAGAGATCATAGAATGAAATAGATGACTTTGTTGTAACGATGAGTCCAGAACCAGAGAGACAGACAGAAAGTTAAGCTAAGAAATAAACAGACAGATAAACATTGAAGGAAAGCTGATACAACAGCACATAAAGCTACCTGGCTCCAGGAGTGTCCAGCTGTTAAACACAGAGCCCATACAGACAACAGGCAGTCCACCTTCTCTTGTCTTCAGATCCTGCAACATAATAGCTGTGAACATTATGTGCCCCGCCTTGGAGTATGGGAATTCACAGTCTGTTATGTCATTTCACCAAACTGTGTTCCAGATTTAATCTAAATATCGTTTAAATCTAAATGTCAACGTTTAAATCTAAATGTCAACGTTTAAATCTAAATGTCAACATTTAAATCTAAATGTCAAGGTTTAAATCTAAATGTCAAGTGGAGGTGGCATCCATACCTTGCTCATCTTCCCTGAGATTGCGTTTAAGTGTCTGGCAAGCAATCGACCTGCCTCCTTGAAGATGCTACAGCACAGCGGGTCGCCCTTCTCCAGACCAGCTGAAAGAAATAACAGATCTATCATCACCATCACAATCTATGGTATCAATTTATAGCACTATAAAGATCTTTTTGGAGTCTCCCTTCTGTAAACCGTCTGAAAGAAATAACACAGCCCTATTACCACCATCTTAAGTCTCAACTTACAGCATCACAGAGCTGTGTTTGAGGTCTCCCTTCTCAAGACTGACATGTACTGAAGTAAATATTTGGTGTAGCACATCGATGCTGCCTTCGAGGCCAAGACAGGCGACACCTTAACCAGTTTCTCAGGGGAACAACCATTAGAGCTACCCTAGAGTAGGTGCTGCATTAGAGAACTGAGCAAGCCTGGGAATGCCCAATGTGCAGTGGTGATGACTGTGATAGCATAACATATTTAAATAGCAATTTCGAAACAAGTTGAGGGAACAGATACATATATTTAAAATATAAAAAACAATCAGAGCCTTAATAACACTCGAAGAATTGTGGAAATCATCAGAAATTAATTCCAAAACTAAACATAATATTTAACTCTAAAAGCCAAAAAAGTACTGCTACATGGATTAGAATCTATAGAAAGGCCTAAATAATTAACGATAAACATTCCTCAGGAAATATCCTGGGAAGTAAACACAAACAACTAGAACAGAGTTTACAGCTAGTTAAAAAGAAGACAATATATGGTTGTAGCCACATAGTTTCAACAAATCTGCTAAGATTCAACTAAGATTCAAACACTTGTCTACCAGGCTGACAGGCAAAAACACCAGCCACTGTGTCACACCAGGCAAGACAACACAGAATCCAAGCCCACAAGACAACACAGAATCCAAGCCCACAAGACAACACAGAATCCAAGCCCACAAGACAACACAGAATCCAAGCCCACTAGACAACACATAATCCAAGCCCACAAGACAACACAGAATCCAAGCTCACAAGACAACACAGAATCCAAGCCCCCAAGACAACACAGAATCCAAGCCCACAAGACAACACAGAATCCAAGACAACACAGAATCCAAGACCCCGAGACAACACAGAATCCAAGCCCACTAGACAACACAGAATCCAAGCCCACGAGACACAACATAATCCAAGCCCACTAGACAACACAGAATCAAAGCCCACAAGACAACACAGAATCCAAGCCCACAAGACAACACAGAATCCAAGCCCACAAGACAACACAGAATCCAAGCCCACAAGACACAACATAATCCAAGCCCACAAGACAACACAGAATCCAAGCCCACAAGACAACACAGAATCCAAGCCCACAAGACAACACAGAATCCAAGACCCCGAGACAACACAGAATCCAAGCCCACTAGACAACACAGAATCCAAGCCCACGAGACACAACATAATCCAAGCCCACTAGACAACACAGAATCAAAGCCCACAAGACAACACAGAATCCAAGACCCTGAGACTACACAGAATCCACGCCCACAAGACAACACAGAATCCAAGCCCACAAGACAACACAGAATCCAAGCCCACCTCTTGCCAATTCTCTACAAAGTCCAGAAAAATAGGCTTTGTCAAAATTGGTGTACAAATGATCCAAGACTTCTGCTTGTGACTGTATCTGTGGATCCAATAAACAAATGTCATTTTAGTGGATCAACACAGCAGGTAGCAACAAGCTGCTATGTATACTTTACATCCACATTTTAACAAGCAACAATTCACATACTGATGGAAGCAAAGAAGCAGTAATTCACACTCAAACAACAGAAGTGAGGCTTCACATTAGAATAAAAGCGATAATTCACATCAGACTGGAAGCTCAATTCACATCTGAACAGAAGCACAAACTCACATTAGAAATGAAGTGGCATTGCACATTAGAATAGAATCATAAATCCCATTAGAACAGAAGTAACAATTAACATTAAAACAGAAATGGCAATTCACATTAGAACAGAAGCGATCTAGTATTAACAATATTGCAAGGGGCAGCACATGACATCAGTTATGCTTTGTACTGTCCGGTGAGTTTGTCCTGTCAATTCCTTCCTTATACCAATTTCTATGTATTCCTTCCTGCAGGAAATTCTGTCCATCTTGACTGTCCCTGGCATTCAGAAATATTACACACAGGTTTCCACTGTGCATCATCATGACACGGTTGTGACCTCATTACATTCCTACCTTGTTTTCTTCCACAGCAAGCACAACACACTTGGGAACAAAAACTACATTCCTGGACGTCTTTCCCAGCAAGGGCACTCTAACTAGAACAAAAGCTGTAGGGCTGAGATGATTCCAAGATGAAGGGAGGTTTATACATCATTATCCCTCCCTTTTCTTCGTGCATCCTGACCCACTTTTTGTTTTCCGTCATCGGAACATAATGTCAGGAGACATGTTTCTACTGAGCGCCACATTTATTGGGAGGCGTTATGCTGGAGACATGTTTCTACTGAGCGCCACATTTATTGGGAGGCGGTATGTTGGAGACATGTTTCTACTGAGCGCCACATTTATTGGGAGGCGGTATGTTGGAGACATGTTTCTACTGTGTGCCACATTTATTGGGAGGCTGTAGACATGTTTCTACTGTGTGCCACATTTATTGGGAGGCTGTAGACATGTTTCTAATGAGCGCCACATTTATTGGGAGGCTGTATGTTGGAGACAGTTGTTCAAAACATTTTAGTAACACGATGTCATCAAAGAAGCACAGGACGTCAAACCTGCCTGTCTGCTGATTGTCTAAGAGTTCGAGTCCCTAGATGTTTACAAAGACTGCCCAAGACTTCAGATTTCAATTGCTGCTCCTCTAGTTTCTTACGGTAGAGTTTCAGAGAAGTAAAAGGATGCATTCTGGGTTTTTTAAAAACTTAATTTGAAGAAAGGTCAGTTTTTTGTTTGTTTAGGATTCTTATGGAGCAAAAAGGTTAAATGGTTGCCAGGCAATGTCCTGGAAAGTAAAGGTGGCTGGCACGATGACGAACACATCAACCACTGAGTGCCAACTGGTCTATCCAGTACGAGTCTAGGATGTTTGTCTAAAGTGCCACTAACATAAAAAGTGTTTACTATATTTGTCCCAATAAAAAAACTCATGAAAGTCACCCCATTCAGATTTTATAGCGCTTCCCATGGGCTGTCTTATGTTCAAGGGGTGTCATGATATGTCTTCCTTCACCGTCTATACACAGCGTGCCGAAAAGTGGCTCGGGTTTGAAGCAGTGGACACACTTTCGCCCCGATGAAACTAGGCAGCTTTTCTTTCTGTGAGTGACTGTTGTTTCTGGAATGTGTTGTTGTGATTATGTCTCAGACACCTGTGGGCAAGGAAGAAGTACTGCAGGGGGAAGCCCCTAAGGCACCACAGTTCGTGAAGTTTAATGTTTCTGTATTGGTATGCTCGTTGGCAGTGGCTATTGTTGGTGGTGGATGTGCTTAAATGGTCAAAACGAGGAACACATGACACCCCTAGACAATAGGAGTGTCTCAGGAAATGCCCTATGAAATTACATGGCCAACAAGATGGGGTCACTTTTGTGAGTTGTCCCAAATATTGTACAGAAATAAGTCAACAAGTATTTATCACCAAGTGCCATTGTCAGAGGAGCATAAACAACTTCACATCAATCAACCAGACTTCAAGTTCAATACCAGTCATCGAGAAGATCCGCAGCTGCTTAACCCAGCAAAATAACAACCAGACAACATGGGACTGACAGCCAGCAAGTGACACGGCAAAAATAACTCGCCTGATAATACTCATAAATGGTTTCCTTCAGTAGGTCGGTGCTGTGCCGGGACAGTATAAAGTTGTCTTCATGGTCAAACAGAATCTTCACAGCTCTCAAAGATATCCAGATCGCTGGCAGGAGAAAACAAACAGAACAGTGCCAGCTGGATACACAGTTAACTACGGTTGAGCAAGCAGCAAATTATTGTTGATTTTCTAAACATTCTTACTGATAAATAATGGATTTCTAAACATTCTTAATGATAAATAATGAATTTCTAAACATTCTTAATGATAAATAATGGATTTCTAAACATTCTTAATGATAAATAATGGATTTCTAAACATTCTTAATGATAAATAATGAATTTCTAAACATTCTAACTGATATATAATGAATTTCTAAATATAGTTATTAACCAATATTTAATAATAAATTACAAAAAATTATTTTTGAAACAGTAGTTAATAAATAACTTGTTTCTAAAGATAATTACTGACGAATAATCATTTTCTAAACATTACTTATGTTTATGATATATGGTGATTTTCTAAAGATAATATTTAATATTTCCAAACTTCATCTGCTTCTGTGGCTAACACAGTCCCTATGCTGATTACCATCCACCTTTTACTTCCCTGCGTGTTAAGGATCTTCCAGCATCTAGTCACTTCCTCCTGAATCAGTCCTACATTTTCCTTCTGCTCTAAGACACCTGACCAAAGAGAGCTTTCACCATGTCAATTTTGTCGTAAAGAAGATCATGCCCAGACCAGCAGCAGCAGCAGCCAGTCTATCAGCTTGCTTATTTCTCCGCACACTCCCAATCCTCACCAGGTATGTCAACTCCATAATTATTTGTAACAGTGTTTTCTGCCTGTGCCATCCACGTGATGATTCTCTACAGGCTGTTTCTGTGGATCTCGTCCAAAGCCTGACCTAGAGGGTATCCCATGGCCCGTTGCAGCTAAAAAGTACATGTTTTATTGTAGTACTCTGTATATTTAATATATGGATGGCAAGGCAAATATATTAATTTAAAAAAAAAAAAACAATATCTTAAATAGATTATGACTTAATAAACTGTCACTGTCATAAATTTAACTGTAGATGACCATAATTTAAAAAGTAAACAAAACAAAGTAGCTGTTTACATTGAAATGAACATAAAAGATATTTTCACACTCGTTCAAAAATTGTCATACAACACAATTAACAAGTACTTCAGAAATAATCACAGATAAAACAGAAGAAGAATTAAGACAAAGTCCTAGACTGACATAAGTTGAGACAAAGCCCTAGAGTGACATAAGTTGAGACAAAGCCCCAGACTGACAATAGTTGAGACAAAGCCCCAGACTGACAATAGTTGAGACAAAGCCACAGACTGACATAAGTTGAGGCAAAGCCCCAGACTGACATACGTTGAGACAAAGCCCCAGACTGACATAAGTTGAGATAAAGCCACAGACTGACATAAGTTGAGACAAAGCACCAAACTGACATAAGTTGAGATAAAGCCACAGACTGACATAAGTTGAGACAAAGCCCCAGGCTTACATAAGTTGAGATAAAGCCACAGGCTGACATAAGTTGAGATAAAGCCACAGACTGACATAAGTTGAGATAAAGCCACAGACTGACATAAGTTGAGACAAAGCACCAGACTGACATAAGTTGAGATAAAGCCACAGACTGACATAAGTTGAGACAAAGCCCCAGACTGATATAAGTTGAGACAAAGCCCCAGACTGACTTAAGTTGTGACAAAGCCCCAGACTGACATAAGTTGAGACAAAGCCACAGACCGACATAAGTTGAGACAAAGCCACAGACCAACATAAGTTGAGACAAAGCCCCAGACTGACATAAGTTGAGACAAAGCCCCAGACTGACATAAGTTGAGACAAAGCCACAGACTGACATAAGTTGAGGCAAAGCCCCAGACTGACATAAGCTGAGACAAAGCCCCAGACTGACATAAGTTGAGACAAAGCCACAGACGGACATAAGTTGAGATAAAGCCACAGACTGACATAAGTTGAGACAAAGACCCAAACTGACATACCTGAGGCCTCATCTCCTATCAAATGACCCCAGCCCCCACACCTGGCCATGGTTCCATCAGGATTGATCAGCTGGCAGTTAGAGCCTGTTCCACAGATCAACACCACACCTCCTGGATCGACAACAACAATTAGAAACATCTGTCAGGTGTTCATCTGACGACTGAGAAACTAGAATCAATGTTACTGCACTCAAGACAAACTCATTTGTGCTCTGTCTCCTGCTCTCTGTCTCTCCTTCAGCATTTGTTGACTGTTGAGTGTTTCAATAACAGACTGTTTGCAAGGTATTTGTGTTCAAGGAAAATAAATTCTCTACAAATGACGTTTTGAAAATGGGCATTTTTTCTCAATCCTCCACAACTCCTTGATTTAGAGGACAAACAACCCAGTTTTCTCCCCACTATCTCCTTATTCACGGTTTTATCTGCTATTTTATCACAGTCGACGTCACTGACATCGGGCATTCCCATGTATGCTCAGCCACCCATACAGCAGCCACTCCTGGGTAGCTGTGCTGATTGTTCCCATGAGAAGTAGGTTATGGTGTCTTCTGTCTTGGCCTCAGACACAGCATAGATGTTCTTTATCACCATACTTTACTCCTAGGTCATGCAATAATGTTAGTGTTGGAGATTTGTCATTATCCATTAGCCTAGTCCATACTGCCCATGGGGAAAATACATTTCTGGAAAAGCAATTTCAGTGAACTAACCTGTGGGTAGAGCACTAGCCAGGGCTGACCGTGTGTCACTGCCAACAAACACATGTTTGGTCAGGTTGGGATAGTTTCTGCGTACGGCCTCAGACATTGACAGCTGAACTGGTTCCTCATCGCCACCGCTCAGGCTCATGCCCTGGATACAGAAACAAAACGTCACAGAATGTCTCTCAGCGTACTCATCTCACAATGAAGATATTCATATGAATTCATATTAGAGATGGAATATGTGAAACATTTTTGCACAACATCAAATTTCAGGGAACAAACACTTGATATCTATTCACACAACATCACATTTCAGGAAAAAAACACATGATATTAGTTCATACAACATCACATTTCAGGGAACAAACACTTGATATCTGTTCACACAACATCACATTACAGGAGAAAAACATGATATATGTTCCCACAACATCACATTATAGGGAATACACACATGGTATCTGTTCGCACAACACCACATTTCATGGAACAAACACTTGATATCTGTTCACACAACATCACATTGCAGGGAACAAACACTTGATATCTGTTCACACAACATCACATTGCAGGGAACAAACACTTGATATCTGTTCATAGAACATCACATTTCAGGGAACAAACAAATAGTATGTGTTCACACAACATCACATTTCAGGGAACAAACAAATGGTATCTGTTCACACAACATCACATTTCAGGGAACAAACAAATGATATCTGTTCACACAACATCACATTTCAGGGAACAAACAAATGGTATCTGTTCACACAACATCACATTTCAGGGTCAAAACTTGATATCTGTTCCCACAACATCACATTGCAGGGAACAAACACTTGATATCTGTTCACACAACATCACATTCCATGGAACAAACACATGATTTCTGTTCATACAACATCACAGTTCAGGGAACAAACACATGATATTTGTTTGCAAAACATCACATTGCAGGGAACAAACACAGGATATCTGTTCACAAAACATCACATTAAAGGGAACAAACACATGCTATCTGTTTGCAAAACATCACATTTCAGGGAATAAAACACATGCTATCTGTTCGCACAACATCACATTACAGGGAATAAACAAATGGTATTTGTCCATAGAACGTCACATTACAGGGAGTGAATAAGTGTCACACAACAAGAAAATAAAAACCAATCCTTACAATGAAAAACAAAATAAACTGGACACACCATCTGCATGGGGAAGATTTAGGCTGGCATCTGACGTGTGGTAAGAGGATGAGAAAGATTTAGGCTGGCATCTGACGTGTGGTAAGAAGATGAACGAACGAACGAACGAACGAACAAACAAACTTTATTTTCAAAGGGTTACAAATTGGGCACGCAGGCCCGTCTGACATTAAAAAGTAAGAAGTAAGAAGATGAGAAAGGTTTAGGCTGGCATCTGACATGTGGTAAGAAGATGAGAAAGATTTAGGCTGGCATCTGACGTGTGGTAAGAAAATGAGAAAGATTTAGGCTGGCATCTGACGTGTGGTAAGAAAATGAGAAAGATTTAGGCTGGCATCTGACGTGTAGTAAGAAAATGAGAAAGATTTAGGCTGGCATCTGATGTGTGGTAAGAAAATGAGAAAGATTTAGGCTGGCATCTGACATGTGGTAAGAAAATGAGAAAGATTTAGGCTGGCATCTGATGTGTGGTAAGAAAATGAGAAAGATTTAGGCTGGCATCTGATGTGTGGTAAGAAGATGAGAAAGATTTAGGCTGGCATCTGACATGTGGTAAGAAAATGAGAAAGATTTAGGTTGATGTCTAAAGCATGCCGCTCACAGAAGTCAGCTTCAGGCCTCAGAAATGAGATATCTGAGAAAGGTGATCCAAGTGACAAGAAGGGATAAAGTCAGTAATCAGACTATACGTCAAGATCTTGATACCCAGTCCTTATACACCCGAGTGGATCAGTCACAGTTACGATGGTTTGGACATGTATGCAGAATGGGAGAAAATCGGCCACCATGGGAGGCTAAGAACCACAGAACCAGACCTCCAGGACGACCCAGGGTGCGCTGGGAAGACAACATCCGACAGTCCCTAACTGACAGAGGACTGGAATGGAACAAAGCCAGAAATAAAACTGCTGATAGAGACGTCTGGCGATCTCTCTGACAAACCTCTACACCCCAAGGTAGAAGAGGAGCGACTAAGTAAGTCTACAGCATGGTAAGAAGAAGTGGGAGATTTAGGCTAATGTCTGAAGGTGGGGTCAGAAGATGAAGCAGATTTAGGCTAATGTCTGAAGGTGGGGTGAGAAGATGAAGCAGATTTAGGCTAATGTCTGAAGGTGGGGTCAGAAGATGAAGCAGATTTAGGCTAATGTCTGAAGGTGGGGTGAGAAGATGAAGCAGATTTAGACTGATGTCTAACAGTGTGGTGAGAAGATGAAGCAGATTTAGACTGATGTCTAACAGTGTGGTAAGAAGATGAAGCAGATTTAGACTGACGTCTAACAGTGTGGTCAGAAGATGAAGCAGATTTAGACTGATGTCTAACAGTGGGGTCAGAAGATGAAGCAGATTTAGACTGATGTCTAACAGTGTGGTCAGAAGATGAAGCAGATTTAGACTGATGTCTAACAGTGTGGTGAGAAGATGAAGCATATTTAGACTGATGTCTAACAGTGTGGTTAGAAGATGAAGCAGATTTAGACTGACATCTAACAGTGTGGTGAGAAGATGAAGCAGATTTAGACTGACATCTAACAGTGTGGTGAGAAGATAAAGCAGATTTAGACTGATGTCTAACAGTGTGGTGAGAAGATGAAGCAGATTTAGACTGACGTCTAACAGTGTGGTCAGAAGATGAAGCAGATTTAGACTGATGTCTCTAACAGTGGGGTCAGAAGATGAAGCAGATTTAGACTGATGTCTAACAGTGTGGTCAGAAGATGAAGCAGATTTAGACTGATGTCTAACAGTGTGGTGAGAAGATGAAGCAGATTTAGACTGATGTCTGTGGTGAGAAGATGAAGCAGATTTAGACTAATGTCTAACAGTGTGGTGAGAAGATGAAGCAGATTTAGACTGATGTCTAACAGTGTGGTGAGAAGATGAAGCAGATTTAAACTGATGTCTAACAGTGTGGTGAGAAGATGAAGCAGATTTAGAATGATGTCTAACAGTGTGGTGAGAAGATAAAGCAGATTTAAACTGATGTCTAACAGTGTGGTGAGAAGATAAAGCAGATTTAAACTGATGTCTAACAGTGTGGTGAGAAGATAAAGCAGATTTAAACTGATGTCTAACAGTGTGGTGAGAAGATGAAGCAGATTTAGAATGATGTCTAACAGTGTGGTGAGAAGATAAAGCAGATTTAAACTGATGTCTAACAGTGTGGTGAGAAGATAAAGCAGATTTAAACTGATGTCTAACAGTGTGGTGAGAAGATAAAGCAGATTTAAACTGATGTCTAACAGTGTGGTGAGAAGATGAAGCAGATTTAGACTGATGTCTAACTGTGGTGAGAAGATGAAGCAGATTTAGACTGATGTCTAACTGTGGTGAGAAGATGAAGCAGATTTAGACTGATGTCTAACAGTGTGGTGAGAAGATGAAGCAGATTTAGACTAATGTCTAACAGTGTGGTGAGAAGATGAAGCAGATTTAGACTAATGTCTAACAGTGTGGTGAGAAGATGAAGCAGATTTAGACTGATGTCTAACTGTGGTGAGAAGATGAAGCAGATTTAGACTGATGTCTAACTGTGGTGAGAAGATGAAGCAGATTTAGACTGACGTCTAACAGCGTGGTTAGATCAGTGTGGTGAGATCATGATGAAATACAACAACATGCAGAGAAAATGCACTGACACCTACCAGCCCCTCCAATACAGTATCTGTTGGCAGGCCAGCATTGCTCAGTCCTATCTGTACAAGGTTATGGACACGTCTGATGCACTCATCAACGCCGATCAACTGAAAGAATTTAACAAGTATATGACAAACAGAAAATGATGCACAGCACACTGAAGGCACTTGCTCCCACTCCTCGCCGGTTCTATTTAATTGATGCTGCATTCACAATCACCAAGGACAGGCCACACACAACTGGTGCTGCATTCACAATCACCAAGGACAGGCCACACACAATTGATGCTGCATTCACAATCACCAAGGACAGGACAGGCCACACACAACTGGTGATGCATTCACAATCACCAAGGACAGGACAGGCCACACACAATTGATGCTGCATTCACAATCACCAAGGACAGGCCACACACAACTGGTGCTGCATTCACAATCACCAAGGACAGGCCACACACAACTGGTGCTGCATTCACAATCACCAAGGACAGGCCACACACAATTGATGCTGCATTCACAATCACCAAGGACAGGACAGGCCACACACAACTGGTGATGCATTCACAATCACCAAGGACAGGACAGGCCACACACAATTGATGCTGCATTCACAATCACCAAGGGCAGGCCACACACAACTGGTGCTGCATTCACAATCACCAAGAACATGCCACACACAACTGGTGATGCATTCACAATCACCAAGGACAGGCCACACACAACTGGTGATGCATTCACAATCACCAAGGACAGGCCACACACAACTGGTGATGCATTCACAATCACCAAGAACATGCCACACACAACTGGTGATGCATTCACAATCACCAAGGACAGGCCACACACAACCGGTGCTGCATTCACAATCACCAAGGACAGGCCACACACAACTGGTGATGCATTCACAATCACCAAGGGCAGGCCACACACAACTGGTGCTGCATTCACAATCACCAAGGACAGGCCACACACAACTGGTGATGCATTCACAATCACCAAGGGCAGGACAGGCCACACACAACTGGTGATGCATTCACAATCACCAAGGGCAGGCCACACACAACTGGTGCTGCATTCACAATCACCAAGGGCAGGACAGGCCACACACAACTGGTGATGCATTCACAATCACCAAGGGCAGGCCACACACAACTGGTGCTGCATTCACAATCACCAAGGGCAGGCCACACACAACTGGTGCTGCATTCACAATCACCAAGGACAGGCCACACACAACTGGTGATGCATTCACAATCACCAAGGGCAGGACAGGCCACACACAACTGGTGCTGCATTCACAATCACCAAGGGCAGGCCACACACAACTGGTGCTGCATTCACAATGGTCAACAGTTTCGTAGGGGTAGTTACATAGCTGGCACTCTGGGGAGTGTTATGGCTGTATTCTGTTTAGGTGTCCATTGAGTGGAGTATGTTGTGTTCTGAGTCTGAAGATGGTGGTCTGGTCCCTTCTTGTTAAATGCTGTCATTAGGATCAGGGCTAGCCATGTGTCTATAAACCTATCTTCCAGTATCTCCCATGGCCCATCTGTTCAGCCAAGTCTCTTTGTTAATAGCTTTTATAAGTGTTTTTGCTATCTGAAGGTTTGTCGCTGTAGGTGGTTGTTCTTGTGATGCTCCTTTCTTTGCCAGTCTGTCAGCTCTGACATTACCTGGTGTGGCGGGGAATGAGCACACTGTGAGCCCCACCTTAGCTACGTGTTAAAGGGAAAGGCAGAAAGAAACACAACCCATATTTCCTTTAGAACTGGTACAGGGCACTTCTGGCTGCTGTCCGGGGAGGGAGGTAATCGACAGACACCCCAGCACCACAATGCCATAATATGAAAGAGTCAAAATTTAATTATACATACGAGATCGGTCGTCGCCTCGTCTATCAAGGCCCGCGCCAGACAGTGGGAAACCAGGCTGTCATGTGTGAAAAATTGGCTACTGGAAAATTTAGGGAAAATAGGAAAATCAGGCACCCCAGAAGAAGGCAGACTAGGAGGGAGGTTGTGGCATTTACACTGCCCACACATGTTCAGGACTTCCCCCGTACGCCTCAGAATCTCACGTAGTGAGGACAGCGACTTGATAGCGCTGTTTGAAAGTGGAGTGGGTTTGTATCCAAGTAAATGCATGGGAATGGCATAGTCCCCATAGCGAATGTAAAAGCCAGCTGGCCAGATCAAGGACGTCCCAGCCCTTTTGAGGCTACCTTCATAGTTTGACTTGATCTTTGTTCACTACAGATTTGTGTTTGCTTTGCTGGTGTCTGGTTTAAGTGTGTAGTAGGCTAGTTTTATCTGTTGCTGGCCTATGAGTGAGCCAGACAAAACAGATTAAATATAGAACAGAGTAGGTCACTGACAGCCTCTTTACCATGTGATGATACACGCTCGCAGCGTACCTATCCAAATGCCTTGGGTTTCATAAACTTTGGGTGCTATTTAAAAAATGCCCAGGCAGGTCTAGTCTAAAATGGATACCAGGAAAAATCCTGGGAAGGAAAGTAAATGCAGCTGGTATGATACTGACCACATCACCCACTGAGGGCTGATTGGTCTATGCAAAAATGACTCTAGCATCATATGCCCCAAGCGCCACTGTTGTAAAAAAGGTTCTCCACATTATTATGAAACTTTCTTCGACATCTTGAAAATCTTCCAATGGTATTTGTTGGAGAAGAATTTAAAATACACTTGACTGTGTGGAATATAATACACTTGACTGTGTGCAATTTAATACACTTGACTGTGTGCAATATAATACACTTGACTGTGTGCAATATAATACACTTGACTGTGTGCAATATAATACACTTGACTGTGTGCAATTTAATACACTTGACTGTGTGCAATATAATACACTTGACTGTGTGGAATATAATACACTTGACTGTGTGGAATATAATACACTTGACTGTGTGCAATATAATACACTTGACTGTGTGCAATATAATACACTTGACTGTGTGGAATATAATACACTTGACTGTGTGCAATATAATACACTTGACTGTGTGCAATTTAATACACTTGACTGTGTGCAATTTAATACACTTGACTGTGTGCAATATAATACACTTGACTGTGTGGAATATAATACACTTGACTGTGTGGAATATAATACACTTGACTGTGTGGAATATAATACACTTGACTGTGTGCAATATAATACACTTGACTGTGTGGAATATAATACACTTGACTGTGTGCAATATAATACACTTGACTGTGTGGAATATAATACACTTGACTGTGTGGAATATAATACACTTGACTGTGTGCAATATAATACACTTGACTGTGTGCAATATAATAAACTTGACTGTGTGCAATTTAATACACTTGACTGTGTGCAATATAATACACTTGACTGTGTGGAATATAATACACTTGACTGTGTGGAATATAATACACTTGACTGTGTGCAATATAATACACTTGACTGTGTGCAATATAATACACTTGACTGTGTGCAATTTAATACACTTGACTGTGTGCAATATAATACACTTGACTGTGTGGAATATAATACACTTGACTGTGTGGAATATAATACACTTGACTGTGTGCAATATAATACACTTGACTGTGTGCAATTTAATACACTTGACTGTGTGGAATATAATACACTTGACTGTGTGCAATTTAATACACTTGACTGTGTGCAATATAATACACTTGACTGTGTGCAATATAATACACTTGACTGTGTGCAATATAATACACTTGACTGTGTGCAATTTAATACACTTGACTGTGTGCAATATAATACACTTGACTGTGTGCAATTTAATACACTTGACTGTGTGGAATATAATACACTTGACTGTGTGGAATATAATACACTTGACTGTGTGCAATATAATACACTTGACTGTGTGGAATATAATACACTTGACTGTGTGCAATATAATACACTTGACTGTGTGGAATATAATACACTTGACTGTGTGGAATATAATACACTTGACTGTGTGGAATATAATACACTTGACTGTGTGGAATATAATACACTTGACTGTGTGCAATATAATACACTTGACTGTGTGCAATATAATACACTTGACTGTGTGGAATATAATACACTTGACTGTGTGCAATATAATACACTTGACTGTGTGGAATATAATACACTTGACTGTGTGCAATATAATACACTTGACTGTGTGGAATATAATACACTTGACTGTGTGCAATATAATACACTTGACTGTGTGCAATATAATACACTTGACTGTGTGCAATATAATACACTTGACTGTGTGCAATATAATACACTTGACTGTGTGCAATATAATACACTTGACTGTGTGCAATATAATACACTTGACTGTGTGGAATATAATACACTTGACTGTGTGGAATATAATACACTTGACTGTGTGCAATATAATACACTTGACTGTGTGCAATATAATACACTTGACTGTGTGCAATATAATACACTTGACTGTATGCAATATAATACACTTGACTGTGTGCAATATAATACACTTGACTGTGTGCAATATAATACACTTGACTGTGTGCAATATAATACACTTGACTGTGTGCAATATAATACACTTGACTGTGTGGAATATAATACACTTGACTGTGTGCAATATAATACACTTGACTGTGTGGAATATAATACACTTGACTGTGTGCAATATAATACACTTGACTGTGTGGAATATAATACACTTGACTGTGTGGAATATAATACACTTGACTGTGTGGAATATAATACACTTGACTGTGTGGAATATAATACACTTGACTGTGTGCAATATAATACACTTGACTGTGTGCAATATAATACACTTGACTGTGTGGAATATAATACACTTGACTGTGTGGAATATAATACACTTGACTGTGTGGAATATAATACACTTGACTGTGTGGAATATAATACACTTGACTGTGTGCAATTTAATACACTTGACTGTGTGGAATATAATACACTTGACTGTGTGGAATATAATACACTTGACTGTGTGCAATATAATACACTTGACTGTGTGCAATATAATACACTTGACTGTGTGGAATATAATACACTTGACTGTGTGGAATATAATACACTTGACTGTGTGGAATATAATACACTTGACTGTGTGCAATTTAATACACTTGACTGTGTGGAATATAATACACTTGACTGTGTGGAATATAATACACTTGACTGTGTGGAATATAATACACTTGACTGTGTGCAATTTAATACACTTGACTGTGTGCAATTTAATACACTTGACTGTGTGGAATATAATACACTTGACTGTGTGCAATATAATACACTTGAATGTGTGCAATATAATACACTTGACTGTGTGCAATATAATACACTTGACTGTGTGCAATATAATACACTTGACTGTGTGGAATATAATACACTTGACTGTGTGCAATATAATACACTTGACTGTGTGCAATATAATACACTTGACTGTGTGGAATATAATACACTTGACTGTGTGCAATATAATACACTTGACTGTGTGCAATATAATACACTTGACTGTGTGCAATATAATACACTTGACTGTGTGCAATATAATACACTTGACTGTGTGCAATATAATACACTTGACTGTGTGCAATATAATACACTTGACTGTGTGCAATATAATACACTTGACTGTGTGCAATATAATACACTTGACTGTGTGCAATATAATACACTTGACTGTGTGGAATATAATACACTTGACTGTGTGCAATATAATACACTTGACTGTGTGCAATATAATACACTTGACTGTGTGCAATATAATACACTTGACTGTGTGCAATATAATACACTTGACTGTGTGGAATATAATACACTTGACTGTGTGCAATATAATACACTTGACTGTGTGCAATATAATACACTTAACTGTGTGCAATATAATACACTTGACTGTGTGCAATATAATACACTTGACTGTGTGCAATATAATACACTTGACTGTGTGGAATATAATACACTTGACTGTGTGCAATATAATACACTTGACTGTGTGCAATATAATACACTTGACTGTGTGCAATATAATACACTTGACTGTGTGGAATATAATACACTTGACTGTGTGCAATATAATACACTTGACTGTGTGCAATATAATACACTTGACTGTGTGCAATATAATACACTTGACTGTGTGCAATATAATACACTTGACTGTGTGCAATATAATACACTTGACTGTGTGCAATATAATACACTTGACTGTGTGGAATATAATACACTTGACTGTGTGGAATATAATACACTTGACTGTGTGCAATTTAATACACTTGACTGTGTGCAATATAATACACTTGACTGTGTGCAATATAATACACTTGACTGTGTGGAATATAATACACTTGACTGTGTGGAATATAATACACTTGACTGTGTGGAATATAATACACTTGACTGTGTGCAATTTAATACACTTGACTGTGTGCAATATAATACACTTGACTGTGTGGAATATAATACACTTGACTGTGTGCAATATAATACACTTGACTGTGTGCAATATAATACACTTGACTGTGTGGAATATAATACACTTTACAACAAGAAACTGTTGCAAATTATCACGAGACACTTTATTGCACATATTGCAAGATATTGTGCTGCATATGTTGCTCTTCTAACAATTACACACTGTGGTATTGGTCACATCTGTCCACTGGTCAGAGATGACTGAACTAATGTGCAAATGTAGTCTGTTCTAGTGGTCACATCTGTCCACTGGTCAAGTCTGCTCAGTTTTCTCTACCATCTTTCTTTATCGTCTGTCTGTATCATATGTCTGCATCATCTGTCTGTATCATCTGTCTTTAGCGTCTCTCTGTATCACCTGTCTGTATCATCTTTCTGTATAATCTGTCTGTATAACCTGTCTGTATCATCTTTCTGTATAATCTGTCTGTATAACCTGTCTGTATCTTCTTTCTGTATCATCTGTCTGTATAATTTGTCTGTATCATCTGTCTGTATCGTCTGTCTTTATATTCTGTCTGTATCATCTGTCTGTATCATCTTTCTGTATCGTCTGTCTGTATAATCTTTCTGTATCGTTTATTGTATCGTCTTTCTGTATCATCTTTCGGCATCAACTTTTTGTATCATCTTTCTGTATCATCTGTCTGTATTGCCTATCTGTATCATCTGTCTGTATCATCTGTCTGTATCATCTTTCTGTATCGTCTGTCTGTATAATCTTTCTGTATCGTTTATTGTATCGTCTGTCTGTATCATCTTTCTGTATCGTCTGTCTGTATAATCTTTCTGTATCGTTTATTGTATCGTCTTTCTGTATCATCTTTCGGCATCAACTTTTTGTATCATCTTTCTGTATTGCCTGTCTATATCATCTTTCTGTATCATTTTTATGTATCGCCTTTCAGTAACATCTTTCCGTATCAACTCAGATACAGATGTTTACCAGATGCCATACTGCTAAACCAACATTCTTCTGGTCTCCCTCTGCTTCTCTAGCCCCTACTTTTCTGTTGTCACAAAATGTTCTCCCATTTTAGTGTGCTCTAACAATGTGGACTCTTGTGTTTTTTTTTTCTGACACAGATACCCAGCTCTATATGTGATTGAATACAAGACAGATGTTACTCGGTGAATGTTACACTGAAAGTTACTTACATACTGATTGGTACCTTCACCTTCACTTCGGCCAACAATCTTGCCTTCAGCATTCACAATAACCAGCTTAGTGTTGGTGGCGCCCCTAGACAGAAATATATCGCAGAATCTGTATTTCTTCACCAGTTTAATATGTACATATCTGTAAAATACTTTGTACTTCTTCACCTGTGCAATATGTACATATCTGTAACATACTTTGTACTTCTTCACCTGTGCAATATGTACATATCTGTAACATACTTTGTACTTCTTCACCAGTTCAATATGTACATATCTGTAACATACTTTGTACTTCTTCACCAGTTCAATATGTACATATCTGTAACATACTTTGTACTTCTTCACCAGTTCAATATGTACATATCTGTAACATACTTTGTACTTCTTCACCAGTTCAATATGTACATATCTGTAACATACTTTGTACTTCTTCACCAGTTCAATATGTACATATCTGTAAAATACTTTGTACTTCTTCACCAGTTCAATTTGTACATATCTGTAAAATACTTTGTACTTCTTCACCAGTTCAATTTGTACATATCTGTAACATACTTTGTACTTCTTCACCAGTTCAATATGTACATATCTGTAACATACTTTGTACTTCTTCACCAGTTCAATATGTACATATCTGTAACATACTTTGTACTTCTTCACCAGTTCAATATGTACATATCTGTAACATAGCTTGTACTTCTTCACCTGTGTAATATGTACATATCTGTAACATAGTTTGTACTTCTTCACCTGTGCAATATGTACATATCTGTAACATACTTTGTACTTCTTCACCTGTTCAATATGTACATATCTGTAACATACTTTGTACTTCTTCACCTGTGCAATATGTACATATCTGTAACATACTTTGTACTTCTTCACCTGTGCAATATGTACATATCTGTAACATACTTTGTACTTCTTCACCAGTTCAATATGTACATATCTGTAACATACTTTGTACTTCTTCACCAGTTCAATATGTACATATCTGTAACATACTTTGTACTTCTTCACCAGTTCAATATGTACATATCTGTAACATACTTTGTACTTCTTCACCAGTTCAATATGTACATATCTGTAACATACTTTGTACTTCTTCACCAGTTCAATATGTACATATCTGTAAAATACTTTGTACTTCTTCACCAGTTCAATTTGTACATATCTGTAAAATACTTTGTACTTCTTCACCAGTTCAATATGTACATATCTGTAACATACTTTGTACTTCTTCACCAGTTCAATATGTACATATCTGTAAAATACTTTGTACTTCTTCACCAGTTCAATTTGTACATATCTGTAAAATACTTTGTACTTCTTCACCAGTTCAATATGTACATATCTGTAACATACTTTGTACTTCTTCACCAGTTCAATATGTACATATCTGTAACATAGTTTGTACTTCTTCACCTGTGTAATATGTACATATCTGTAACATACTTTGTACTTCTTCACCAGTTCAATATGTACATATCTGTAACATAGTTTGTACTTCTTCACCTGTGTAATATGTACATATCTGTAACATACTTTGTACTTCTTCACCTGTGTAATATGTACATATCTGTAAAATACTTTGTACTTCTTCACCTGTGTAATATGTACATATCTGTAACATACTTTGTACTTCTTCACCTGTGCAATATGTACATATCTGTAAAATACTTTGTACTTCTTCACCTGTGTAATATGTACATATCTGTAACATACTTTGTACTTCTTCACCTGTGCAATATGTACATATCTGTAAAATACTTTGTACTTCTTCACCTGTGTAATATGTACATATCTGTAAAATACTTTGTACTTCTTCACCTGTGCAATAAGTACATATCTGTAAAATACTTTGTACTTCTTCACCTGTGCAATATGTACATATCTGTAACATACTTTGTACTTCTTCACCTGTGTAATATGTACATATCTGTAAAATACTTTGTACTTCTTCACCAGTGCAATATGTACATATCTGTAACATACTTTGTACTTCTTCACCTGTGCAATATTTACATATCTGTAAAATACTTTGTATTTCACCTGTGCAATATGTACATATCTGTAACGTACTTTGTACTTCTTCACCTGTGCAATATGTATGTTACTTAGCAACATTTGAATCCAAGAAACACCAAAAGACAAATTACAGTTTAGTCAAACATCCTAGAGTACTACAGACTAAGAACTGGAAGACACAGGTGGATTTTTTTTTTTCAGACTTGAACTTCAAAGAAAGGTGGCTCTTACATAAATCAGTAAACTGCCTCAGAAAATGAAATATTTTGAAAGATTAAACATCAAAATGTTGTAAACACAAGAGTACTGGAAGAAGTGCAACAGTACCTGGATATCGCACCCCAGCAGCAGAGGCATAAAACAGGAAAACTAACATTTAAAACCCCCAGAAAACAAAAAACAGAAGTTATGACAACTGCAAGAACAGAACAACAAATCAAGATATGTAAAGAAAACTAACAATTCAAGCAAGCAACAGACTTTATGTATACAGGGAGTATTGTATCCAATAGAAAAAGGGAGGCAGAAATTTAAAAAAAAAAAAACAACAACAAAAACAAAACAGATGGATTAAAGCAAATAAAATCATTGGACAAATTTGCTGAACAAACCAGTAACAATTGACACTAAAAGAGTACTATCCAATATTGGATTTTCACCAACAATGTGTTATCATGTCGAACATGGATGTACTATCAGTACAACCAGAGTGTACTATCTGTACAACCAGAATGTACTGTCTGTAAAACCAGAATGTACCATCTATACAATCATAATGTACCGTCTGTACAATCAAAATATACCATCTGCATAATCAAAATGTCCTGTCTGTATAATCAAAATGTACTGTCTGTATAACCAGAATGTACTCTCTGTATAACTAGAGTGTACTGTCTGTAAAACCAGAATGTACTGTCTGTATAACCAGAGTGTACAGTCTGTATAACCAGAATGTACTGTCTGTATAACCATAATGTACTCTCTGTATAACCAGAGTGTACAGTCTGTATAACCATAATGTCTCTATAACCTAAATGTACTGTCTGTATAACCAGAATGTACTGTCTCTATAACCTAAATGTATTGTCTCTATAACCTAAATGTACTGAACCATAATGTACTGTCTGTATAAACAGAATATATTATAACCAGAATGTACTGTCTGTATAACTAGAATGTACTCTGTATAATCAAAATGTACTGTCTCTATAACCTAAATGTACTGTCTGTATAACCATAATTTACTGTCTGTATAAACAGAATATATTATAACCAGAATGTAGTGTCTGTATAACTAGAATGTACACTCTCCATATAACCAAAATGTACTGTCTCTATAACCTAAATGTATTGTCTGTATAACCAGAATGTACTGTCTCTATAACCTAAATGTATTGTCTGTATAACCAGAATGTACTGTCTCTATAACCTAAATGTATTGTCTGTATAACCAGAATGTACTGTCTCTATAACCTAAATGTATTGTCTGTATAACCAGAATGTACTGTCTCTATAACCTAAATGTATTGTCTGTATAACCAGAATGTACTGTCTCTATAACCTAAATGTATTGTCTGTATAACCAGAATGTACTGTCTCTATAACCTAAATGTATTGTCTGTATAACCAGAATGTATTGTCTGTATAACCAGAATGTACTGTCTCTATAACCTAAATTTATTGTCTGTATAACCAAAATGTACTGTCTCTATAACCTAAATGTATTGTCTGTATAACCAGAATGTACTGTCTGTATAAACAGATTATATTATAACCACAATGTCTGTATAACTAGAATGTACTCTCTCTCTATAACCTGAATGTACTGTCTGTATACCCAGAATGTACTGTCTGCATAAACAGAATGTGCTGTCTGTGTAAGCAGAATATACTATAACCAGAATGTACCGCCTGAATAACCAGAATGTATTTTCTGTATAACTAAAATATCTGTCTGTATAACCAGAATGTACTGTGTAACCAAAATGTACTGTCTGTATAAAAAGAGTTTAAGTAAGTAAAGATCCCTTTTCAAGCTTTAAGGCGCACCAGGCATGTGGGAAGAGCACCCATATTTGTGTTCAGACCAAAATCGTCACTAGATGTGTAATGTGGTAAGCATTATGCCAGCAATCTTTACTTCCCCAGGACAAACATCCTGGAACCCATTTTAGGTTCGGTCGACCTGCGACGCTCCATACCATAATAAAAATCCATGCAGCCAGCAGTGGGTTTCGACTGCTGTATGTTGGAATTATGAGTTGGACTCGCAATGCCCAAGACACGGATGCCGCTTAACCAGAGCGTACTGTCTGTATAATCAGAATGCATTGTCTGTATAACCAGATTGTGCTGTCTGTATAACCAGAACGGACTGTCTGTATACCAATAGCGGTCATCATTTATCTGAGAGAAACAATCACAAGTGCACTGTACCCTTCAACTCCTCCATACACGTGTGTGGTTGGAGACATGGCTTCACTGTCAGTGACCAGCTTGTGACCTGGATAGCAGAAATACATACAAGGATGAGATAAACAAATAAATTGTAGCAATATCTATTACACAATTTTTGTTTTGTTCACATTGCTTGACATGTATGTCACAAAGTTTTATATATGTTACAATTTCAAATATTTTTTTAAAGATATGATACTTCTTTAAATATTTGTCAAATATGCTGCTTCTCTGGATATTTTAAATAAACAGAAAATAAACTGAAATAGTGAAACGTAAAGATCTTGTTAGTTAGTTCCTATCTACTTGGATATATTGGTAATGCAGTACTAAAACAACAACCATAAATTATCTTGTTAGATACGCTGGTAATGTAACACTAAAACTACAACCATAAATTATCTTGTTAGATAGACTGGTAATGTAACACTAAAACTACAACCATAAATTATCTTGTTAGATACGCTGGTAATGCAGCACTAAAACTGCAACCATAAATTATCTTGTTAGATAGACTGGTAATGTAACACTAAAACTGCAACCATAAATTATCTTGTTAGACTGGTAATGTAACACTAAAACTACAACCATAAATTATCTTGTTAGATACGCTGGTAATGCAGCACTAAAACTACAACCATAAATTATCTTGTTAGATAGACTGGTAATCTAGCACTAAAGCTACTAACATAAATTATTTAGTTAGATAGACTGGCAATGTAGCACTAAAGCTACAACTATAAATTATCTTGTAAGATAGACTAATGTAGCACTAAGGCTACAACCATAAATTATCTTGTTAGATACGCTGGTAATGTAGCACTAAAACTACAACCATAAATTATCTTGTTAGATACGCTGGTAATGTAGCACTAAAACTACAACCATAAATTATCTTGTTAGATACGCTGGTAATGTAGCACTAAAACTACAACCATAAATTATCTTGTTAGATACGCTGGTAATGTAGCACTAAAACTACACCTATAAATATCTTGTTAGATAGACTGTTAATGCAGTACTAAAACTACAACCATAAATTATCTTGTTAGATTGACTGGTAATGTAGCACTAAAGCTACAACCATAAATTATCTTGTTAGATTGACTGGTAATGTAGCACTAAAGCTACAACCATAAATTATCTTGTTAGATTGACTGGTAATGTAGCACTAAAGCTACAACCATAAATTATCTTGTTAGATAGACTGGTAATCTAGCACTAAAACTACAACCATAAATTATCTTGTTAGATACGCTGGTAATGCAGCACTAAAACTACAACCATAAATTATCTTGTTAGATACGCTGGTAATGTAACACTAAAACTACAACCATAAATTATCTTGTTAGATATGCTGGTAATGCAGCACTAAAACTACAACCATAAATTATCTTGTTAGATAGACTGGTAATCTAGCACTAAAGCTACTAACATAAATTATCTTGTTAGATACGCTGGTAATGCAGCACTAAAACTACAACCATAAATTATCTTGTTAGATAGACTGGCAATGTAGCACTAAAGCTACAACTATAAATTATCTTGTAAGATAGACTAATGTAGCACTAAGGCTACAACCATAAATTATCTTGTTAGGTAAACTGGTAATGTAGCACTAAAACTACACCTATAAATATCTTGTTAGATAGACTGGTAATCCACACTAAAACTACAACCATAAATTATCTTGTTAGATTGACTGGTAATGTAGCACTAAAGCTACAACCATAAATTATCTTGGTAGATAGACTAATGTAGCACTAAGGCTACAACCATAAATTATCTTATTAGATAGACTGGTAATCCACACTAAAACTACAACCATACCTTAATACAGTGGTATCTCGGATCATAAATGCCTCTAGTCATTAACAATCGGCCTACAAATGCAATTTTCCAACAAATTTGCACTTAACCTGTGAACAATGCCCCAGTGTATGAATACACAAACATGGCGGTGGTGCCATGTTTTTGACTAAAGAACAGCATCAGTTGTATTCAGGTTTGCTAGCTGCAAACATTGTTGATCATTGAGTTGTTCATAAAACCCTTTTTTTTTTGGTGTGTGTGCATTAAATTAACTCTCATTATAGCCCAAAAGAAAGGTAAAGAGTTAGTAATAGTGGTGTAAAGACGCCTAAGAAAATTACAGGAGAAACAAAGAAGAAAATAATACAGGTGAATGGATTAACTCTTTAAGGCCTAAGCAACGGTGTGAGCGCTGTTTGAGAAGTTTTGTTTTGCCCAAACGACGCTGTCATCGTCGATCGTGTGTCCCATAAATTTTGCTTCGCTCGCCTCCGTACTAGTTTTGAATGTTCGGAGGTACGATTAAACTATTCAGGGAAAGTCACTCTGCTGACATCTTTTTAGTTTCATTTCCTAGCCTAAACCGCACGTGCATAATTTGACAGCGAAATATTTTTCAACAGGGCATTTTTAAAGTCCGTTTTTGAGTGCCATGAATACCAATGTTCCAACCACAAATACAGGTCGCAGAATGTGTCTTTTTGCGGCCGAAGGTCTGAAATAGTTTTTTAATCAGATGTTTTTAATTCTGATAATGGTAATGAAAATTTAGATTTTTTGGAAAGTGATTCAGACAGGACATTTTCACCAGCGAAGCTGAGAGATCAGCTGTTCTGAATCTAGCGATTCTGATGAATTTATTACACAGACAATGTCCCATGGCTACCATATTTATGGTGTAAAAGAAGGAAAGTGCTCTAAACAAAGAGATTGTACTTTACTATGGCTAAGCTACATTGAAATCATCGCAGCTACAGTCTGTAAATAACTTTACAAAGCCCCCCCCCCCCCCCCCCCCCCCCACCCCTCGCCTGCCATTTTTGTTAAGGGAAATTAATGTGGGCCAAGTCTGTCAAAATTCAAGGGCCTGAAAGAGTTAATGGAAAATAATTGGTTTTGTTAGCGAACTTTTCGGTTCTCGACGGGAGTCAAAGAACAAATTAAGTCAGTGTCCCAAGGTACCACTGTGACTATATCGTACTTGAGTGTAGTATTTCATATGATATTATCCCTCTTACATATTTTATCACATCTAGTGACTCTTGCATATGATATCTGATACTTTATATTACATAAATGTTCTCTGTCGTTAAGTTATAAATGAAAAGTGGTGTACACGGCAGAAGCAGACCTGGGAGTGCTAGACGGCACAAGTTGTGGGTCCCACCAGTTGTCTTGGGGCTAAGACACGTCTGCAGTTATCACAGGGTGGGGGCGGTCCCGGAAACAACACAAATAGTAACACAGGTCATGTGATCGGCACGCTGTAAATCTTGGCTTGGATTTAACTTTTGGTCCTCGCTTTTGTCGGCGTTTCTTGCTTAGGCATTGGAAAGCCATTCGTAATTCCAGTGTACCGGGTTCGATCCCAGCTGCCAGCGATTTGGCAGCAAGCCACTTTGCTTCGATGTCAGCAGTGGTACCAAGAGCCGATCGGGCCGACCGTCTAGAAGGCAATGGCAAACTAATAAACGGGGCCTCGAAAATAAAAACATTGACAGTGGATGCACTGCACCAAATCAGGGGTGCTGAGTGGTCTGGAGGTGTGGTGTCCGCCTCGATTGCCGCAGGTCCCCGGTTCATGCCCCAGTGAAGGCTGGGATTTTTTCCCCCGCATGGACTTCTAGTATTTCTCCTGATCTCTGGATAGTAAGATCGGACGTCTGTTTGTATTGTTGCGGACGTAAAAAATCCCTAGTGAATAATAAATCGAAAAGAGTAGCCTAACGGCACTGCCCGGGCAAATTTTAGAGTTAAAAATTAAAATCCCCACAGGAGCTACGGAGCTTGAGTTAGAAGTAGAACGGAGCACTTATGAGTTACCACCCTTGTGTCATGATGTTGTTCTGTTGCTTAAACAGTAAACGTCTTAATGACATTACATGACACATTCACCACACACATGACATTACATGACACATTCACCACACACATGACATTACATGACACATTCACCACACACACATGACATTACATGACACATTCACCACACACATGACATTACATGACGCATTCACCACACACATGACATTACATGACACATTCACCACACACATCATGTAACAGAACGCATTCATTCAACACGCAAACATAATGTAACATGGTGCATACAACACACACACACACACACACACACACACAATACAGCATGACCGGGGCGGTAACAACCTTATGGACTTTGTTGAAAAAAAAACTCTCTCACAGTATTAAACGACAGGTCCAAAGCAAGGATTAGCCCAACCCTCTGAAGTCGCGACACAGTCAATAGCCACAGCTGGGCTCTCGGGCTGCCATTGTTCAGTACTGTATCACACTAGCAAACACTTCCCGCACAAAAATATGCCCAACCACCTCACCAAAAGAAGACAGAACAAACCATTTCCACGCAAAGGGGCAATTAACAGAGCAGTGGGGTGGTTGGATGCGAAATGCTCCAACCAAAACCTACAAGACTTCAAAAACAAACGGAACGCCGCAAACAGAGCTGTAAAAAAGGCAAAAGAAAATAGATGGAAGATCTTTTGCCAGTCACTAATTTGATTTGATTTGATTCAAGAACCGACATCACAGCACTCCCATAAGCGTCCCGTCTCCATCTTCAGCAGTCAGGTAAGAGTTCCGATACTAATGGTGCCAGCAGCATTCTGATTAAACGTCCGCCTTACCTTTCTCCTGAGCCTCGAGCATCTGCCAGAACCTCTCGTCACTCCCCGCTGCATCGATCTCCCCACACTGTGGTGGTCAATCTGCTTCTCCGAACTGTACAAGCTCTCCCACAAGACACTAACCACGTCTGCCTTATCATTCATCAGTATTCCACCAAGCTGTGCAGAGCCAGCCAGTCTGTCCGCCTGTTCATTTCAGTCACTCAACCCAGCACCCCTACTAGGAAAGTCTGGGATCAAATTAAGGTTTAAAGGGGATTGAAAGTGCAAACAAATCCCTACGACCAAGATCCCGTCTCTTGCCATCCCAGAAAAAGAGA